GAGAGAGAGAGAGAGAGAGAGAGAGCACCTTTTTTTTTTCTTGCTTTCTTCTCTCCTGCACACAGGACCAGCAGAGCAGACACATTCAAAGATGGCGGGACGAGCGGTACTTCTTCGACGCTTGGCGGCTGCCCCCGCGCTCCGTCGCTCGGTGCTGCGGTTAGTTTTGGCCCATCTTGTTCTGGTTGTTGCCGCTTGTTTCTTGGTGTCAAAAACCAACTGAGGCAAGGCTGCCTCAGTGCGCCCAGCGTGCCAGCTCGCAACCTTGATGGTGCGCTCGCCTTCCTTCGCCCCACCCCTCACATCTCCTCGTCCTGTGCGCTGTTGATCGCCTCGTTATCCTATGCCATTCCATCCATCGCTGCTTTGCCAATCGGGGACTCGACTGCAGGGCCAACACGCCCGCCTGCCGCATGTACTCGGACGAAGCCGAAGGTGCGACTTGCCAATCATTGAACTTTGTACAGAACCCCGTTCAAAGCAAAGGCTGCTGGGCAAACATGAAAACCATTGCCTTGAGCCACGCGGCGACTCCCGCTCTAGTTTTGGGCCAAGCCATAGACACTGCATTGATGGTTAATATTCTGTGCTTCTCCTTTTTTTTTTCCATTTCCTCTCAATAGCTGCTCCCAGCAAGACGTACAGCCCCAAGATTGAGAACATTGTGTCTGAGGTTTCAAGCATGACCATTCTGGAAGTCGCCGACCTTGTTGCTGCGCTCAAGGTTTGTACGGCACGCAACTTGCTCATGATACTGGTGTGGCAAAAGCTTTCTGACTTGGCATCCTCCTTCGGTTCTCCGCCCTGGTGGCGAACTGTTATCTGCACTGCCCCCCTTCTAGGACCGCCTGAACATTGCTGACATGCCCATGGCCGTTGCGGCAGCGCCGGCTGGTGGTGCGGCGGTATGTATACCATGTGCTCATTGATAAAACAGACCAAAACAGAACAACACGTTCCTTTTTGGCCGTAGCGAGGCAGCATGTGTACCCAACCGACAGCAATAGCATCGTGTTGTTCTTATCCCAAGAGCTCATGAATGCAACATGCGGTGCTTGCCATCTCGTTTGTGACCAATGCAGCCCGCGGCTGAGGAGCCCAAGGAGGAGCAGACTGAGTTTGATATCAAGCTGGTCAAGTTCGATGACAAGGCTAAGATCAAGGTCATCAAGGAAGTTCGCAACATTCTCCCCGACCTCAAGCTGGCCGAGGTACGCAAACATTGTAGCCCATAAGCCACCGAGTGATTCTTCATGCCTGGTTATGTCGTCTTTTTTTTTTTGGTGTTGTTGGATCAAGGGTGAGCACAGGGGTTTTTGAATGTTTATTTACAGTGCTGCTTCCCATTCTGGCCTGCCGTTAACTTACACCTGCTGCACGCTACCCAGGCCAAGAAGCTGGTTGAGGATGCCCCACAGCCCCTGAAGAAGGGCATTAGCAAGGAGGAGGCTGAGAAGATCAAGGCAGTGATTGAGGCTGCTGGTGGTACCGTTGAGATTGCATAAGTACGCCTGGCATGGAACCAGTGCGCCTCATGGGCGCGGGGTCAAAAGGCAAAGCCGGACATGGCCTCAAACCTGGAGTTGCCAGCGACTCAGCCCGACTTGGCTCTTTGGACATGGATTCATTGCAGTGTTGCTGCTCGTGTCCTTGGTGTTGGTTTCATTGAGAAACTGACACCACTTGCTCGTTGGTGTTGCCACTCTTACAGGCCAGGTTTGCGTATCATTCTTGTATTTTTCTTTCCTGTCTTTCTGTTACTTTCTTTCTACACACCCTTCCTCCCCTCTTTGTTTGGATATGTGTCAGGCTGTGCAGACACGCGCCTAGCACGCGCTCCTCTCCTTCATTTCACTTTTCCCCCCTTCCAAAGCACACAAGAATAAATCAAGCACAAATTCAATAGCCGATTAAACAACATTCTCAGCCGATTCTACTCTTTCTTTTCCTCTTCCCCGTGCAAAGCCTCCTCATCCACCACTCTTCTAGTCTCAAGCCTTTGAGTATCTCCTCTCCCGGGTGCCTCTCCATTCTCTGACTCACGCCTTGACAGGGGAGCGTCCCTGCTTTTCTCTTCTTTTCTCTACCAACCATTCATCATCTCAAAAATTTTTTTTTATCGCTTTGCATTTGATTTCAAAAAAAAGTTTCTCCCAGTCAAACGCATTTTTTTTGTTGATTGACTTCACCTGAAAAGCACGCTCGTGTTCCCGCCTCGTGGCAAGCGTCTTGGGCCAGTCGGTTGACCAACGGCAGTTGGAGAGCTCACTGGGAGGGGATTGAGAGTGTTTGGGTGGGAGGTGAAGCTGCTGTGACCAGCTAGCTGCGGCTCTTGATTTAAAGTCCGCGCGCCATGTGCTGAGCGGTGCTGGCTTCCTATCTGTTGACGGGACCGCGGCATCCTGACACCAGTCGCTTGAGCGCATCGCTCCACCGATGTCCAGCATCTGCTGATACCAACTGCTTGACAGCTCTGTCTTCTTTGCACTTTTTTCCCTTTCGTATCTTCACTGGGCGTCTCAAGGCGAGCGCACCGCTGCGTCATCACCGTCCTCAAGCATGAAGCGTGCCAAGCAGACAACGCCAGAGATGCGCCCCTCCATCTCCCGGCCCCGGCCGCGTGCCACCACCAGTGCCTCTACCAACGAGGGATATCTGGCCAAAAAAGAACCGTAAGACCTTTGTGTTTTAGTGCTGGCCTGATGCTGAGCACGACACCAGACCCACCTCACATGCTGCGCGTGTGCTGGCAGCGTCTTGATGAACGAGCTGGCCAAGCTTAACAACCGAAAACTTGCCGTCGCCGCGAGTGAGTGACTCCACCTTGCTCGATGCCCACCTTCCTCGAGTGATTCTAGAATGCATCTTTTGCTCATGCCTTGCTTTCTGCTCGCATTGTGCAGAGGAAGGACCCGACTATGAGACCGCATTGAGCCAGCTCGAGCACGAGGCCAAGCTTGAACACGCTGCCATTGGTGCGCTGAGATGGTTGGACTTTTTTGTCAAGCAAATGTGCAAGCACCTCATCCTCGGTTGTTTGCCGTGCATGGTGTGTGTGTGTGTGTGTGTGTGTGTGTGTGTGTGCACAGATATTTACTACAAGTACAAGCATGAGGATGTCGAGTTTATGTTTGCCGAAGCCCGAGCAGAAATCGAGCGCCGCATCGAGGTACGGGGCTTGTGCTCGGTGTGCCTGGCCATCTTTTCGCAGTTGTTTGGGCCAAGCATGGAGATAGCATACTGCTTTTGCTTTCAGCTCAACACTCTTCTGGGGCGGCCTGGCACAGGAATTGACGGATCAAGTCAAGCAGGAGCTCATCAGCGACCTCAAGCAAGAAGAACAGGCCGTTTTGCAACAAATCAAGGCTAGCGCCATCGATGAACGAGCCTTGGCCGCCAACATGCCCACGCGCCAAATGCGCAAGCGTGGCCACGACGATAGCAATGTATGATTGGCTGCTGCATGGCTGCTGCATGGCTGGTCGGGCGGTTGCTGGAAGTAGGCTTACACAGCTCACGCCCGGTGGTCTTTGTCCTAGGTCACCGAGCACGCGGAAGAGAGTGCAGTAGAGAAGTATCATGGAAAACCATTCGTTCATCTTTTGGCTGCCAACGACGACATTTTAGCCGATGTGAAGGCCATGAACAGCGGTGTGTCATCGGTTGCATGTGTGGGGCGCCCCGCCCACGCAGTCACACGGGAAGCAGGGAAAGGGTACGAGGGTGGGCGACTTTCAGCCAGGGGCTGATGCGACAGGGTTGCTCGATCGGGCCTTGCTTTGTTGGAGACCTTGCAACTTGTCTGACTCATCTTCTGATCGTCGTTCACTTTTTCACTATTAAGTCGCGCTCGCAAGTCGATCTCGCAAGTCCTCAAAGCGCAAGAGTGCTTCCCAGGCCCCTTTGCCCCCATCGGAACATGTATCAGACGTCATCTTTGACAATGAAGGCGACCGTCTCTACGTGAACGAGCGCTGGTGCGTAGGCATGATGGGGTGATGGCAGTGCTCAAATTGCCGCCACCAGCTGTTGCGCATATCCGCAGGCTGACGACTGTCCCCCCCTCCCCCCCGCCCCCTTCCCCCCTCCCCCCATTGCTTTATTCAGGTTTTATCGCGGCGATCGTGTGCAAGTGGACTGGCCCCATGAAACGCGGGCACGACTTCAGTAAGTCAATGAAAATTGCCCAAATGTTGAACTAGCTGCGGCTCTTGCCTTGGCTCACGCGTGCTAATCATCACCACTTGCGCATTGCTTGGACACAAGGGGGCATTTGCTGGTGTGCAATCCCATCATGGTGTGGATTCGCGTTGATGACATTGTGAAGATTCCACTTCCTTTGGAGGATTTTGAACGAGGACGATGCATGATGCGAACGTATTAGGATGTGGGTCGCCGTGCCTATGTGCGCCCAACGCGGAGGCAAGCGTCATTTGTTATGATATCTTGACGTAGAAACATGGGCTTTTGTGTGATCGAGCTAGTGGACTGGACAACAAGACACGACGTGTCAATTGACTATTCAACATCGGATTCATGCAGCACGCTTCTCGATCAGCTCGAACAGAAAACAGAAAAAAAAAGTCGAAAGAGCAAAAAGTCAAAAAGTCGAAATTGTCAGCAATTTCATGCATCATGTGCGGAATTCTGGCGCTGGTGACCGAGGTCGGGCCAGCGGTGCCCAAGGTCGTGGACCGGCAGATCCTGGCCGATCTGGTCTCCCATCGCGGTGAGTGCGAGTGGATGACGCAACACAGGGGGGATGGGTTTTTTTTTGGTCCTGAGCAAGCAGGCCACGTGTAGTTCAAGTCAGCAAGAGTACTTTTCGTCAAGGCCTCACGAGAGGAACTGATGTGTGAGCCACTGCAGGCCCCGACGCAAGTGGCCACCATGAGAGCAGCGTAGGCAACGGCCATGAAGTGCACCTCACAGGCCAAGTTCTTAACATGCGTGGGCCCGTGGTCGCTCAGCCCTTGCACGCCGAGGCTCAGGGCTTACACCTGCTTTTTAATGGAGAAATCTATGCTGGCTTGCCGGGCCTGTCCGCGAGAGCCAACGACAGCCAGGCCTTGTTAGCGGCGCTGGCCGCGTTCACGGAAGCTGCAGTCGCCCCCAATGGGAAGGCAAGTGACAGTTGTGAAACAGCCTACATGGCGGCGATATGTAGTGTGCTTGAGCGCTTGCGTGGGCCCTGGGCCCTCGTCTTGCTGGATTCAATCCGTCAGAAATTGTGGGTAGCACGCGACTACCTTGGGCGGCGCGCCCTGTCCATCTGTCGTGACGGCACCGATCTCTTGATCAGCAGTGTGTGCGATCAACTGCGACCCCAAGACCCCGCCAACCCAACGGACGAGGCCGCGTGGCGCGAAGTTTCTACATGCGGTGTGTGTTGCTTCGATCTGGGCGCCTCGGGGATGGTGTTGAACGTGCTACCTTGGAAGCTGGCCTCAGCACATGGGGCGGAGAAAAATGCTGCTGCATACCGGCGTCTTGTGGCACAGCTGCGACAACGCGAGCTAATCGCATGGGCACATGAGGTGGTGGGTCCCTCAGGTCGGGTCGTCGACTGGTCAGAGACACCAGATGTTCAGCCCGCCGTCCCAATCTGCCTGCCGAATCTGCAAGCGATAGCACCCGAACACCCTGCCGGCACCGAACCCGAGTTGCCCTTGCAAATGGGCCTCACAGACGCTTGGCCCTTTGAAGTATTGGCAAGCCTCACGGCCTGTGAGGCGGGCGAGGCTACACACTTCCTCATGGATCCGGTCGCTGTTGCGGAGAAGCGCGCTGCCACGGTGGCGCCGCTAACATCGGCCTTGCGTCGAGCCGTGGGCTTGAGGTGCCACGCGTTTCATGGTGACAGGTATCTGATTGCTGGTCCATCTTTCTCTATTTTGCTCCCTCTAGTTTTTGCATTGGACTTGCATTGGACTTGGGAGGGATGGTTCAAGGGAAGCATACATAAATGAAAGATATGACAGACCGGGTCCTCGATGTGGGGGAATGCGCCGTAGCCATGCTCATGTGACATCCGACCCGATTGGACGCAGCAATTCGGAGCGCCGGCCTGTGGGTGTGCTGTTCTCGGTATGACCAAGCGCAGGGCCACGGCATCGGCAGCCTCCGCACTTTTCTATTTTTTATCGTCATGCCTCTTCTCTTTTTCTCTATTGACGTTTGCACCCTGATGCGACCCCACATGGCTTGGTGGAACGGGGTAGGGCGGCATTGACTGTACTTTGCTGGCTCTTTTGGCGTTGGATGAGTTGGAGCCAGGCACGGAACTGCACCTCATCAACGTGGCTTTTGAAAATCGAGCTCGAAATCAAGCTCAGGGAGCAGACTTGTACAGGTGTCGTCTTGCCGACGTCGGGCTCCCATCCCCGTTGGACCTTTGAGAGCATGCACTCACCTCACCGATGGTCGCCGCAGCGTTCCGGATCGCCTCACAGCTATTGCTTCGTACCATGAATTGTTGCGTCTGCGCCCAAATGGTACGCTCAAGAGCCCGCCCCAGCCGTTACGTTGCCGCGAGCGACTTGAGCCTCATGCTGCTGGGCATCGTGGTATTGCCACCCACTGGGCTAGCACTGATACGCCTGATTTTGGTCAACGTACCGCGAGCGGAGCTGGAGATGCACCGGTCTGTTCATCTGCCCGCAAAGCCTATCCGCCTTTGTCCATGAGCGCGGGGGTGTGAGGTTCTTGCGTGTACCGTTATTCGGGTTGGGTGGGTATGGCAGGCCCCATGTGTGGCGCTTGGTGGCTCCCTTGGACACGGAGCTGGACGATAGCATTGGTTGTGCCCTTTGGTTTGCGGCTCGCGGGCATGGAGTGCTCTATGGAGAAGAAGATGCCAGTGATGTGCCATTTGTTTCAACCGCGCGAGTACGAAAGCGCCGACAGACCTGCGTACATTGGCGAGCTGTGTGCCAGACGGAGCTAATTCTTGACCGCCTTTGGGCGATATGCTTTTGGTCGGCCTAGGTTCTGCTGTTGGGCATGGGGGCGGACGAACAGTTTGGTGGTTACAGTCGTCATCGAAAGGCATTTGATCGAGATGGCATGCTCGGAGCTCTCTGCCAGGTCAGCTCCTCCCACATCGGAGGGCTCAAACGACAGATAAAACTTCTGCACACAGATGTCCACGTGCATATTTCACCGGTTGCCGATGCTATGAACTACTTCCAGGTTGAGCAGGACATCCGGCGGATTCCAACCCGCAATCTTGGGCGGGATGACCGGGTCATTGCTGATCATGGGCGTGAGGGGCGATATCCTTTTCTAGACGAGGCGTTTATGTCGCTCGCCAATGCGCTGCCCTTGGCGGTCAAGGTTTGTTCATATTGTGGGCTCTCCAGCTTGTCCGTGTTGCAGAGGGAGCGAGGCCTACTCATTACCAATGGTGCAGGCTGACTTTACTGGAGAGCGGGGCTTGGGAGAGAAAAAGGTCTGTGCTGTTCTTAGCCACTCTTTGTATATGCCCGTTTTCCTGTGAAACGCAAGTGCGTTTGCACATTCCTCACCCGTCATTGCGTGCCCCCGGAGCAGTTGCTGCGGATGATGGCCGAGGCCGTGGGCTTGGCATCAGCAGCGCGACTCCCCAAGCGTGCCATCCAATTTGGCTCCCGCATCGCCAAGATGGAGCGTGGCGCCCGAACTGCAGGCCATCATCGAATTGGGCCCAACAAGCCAGCTCGAGAGTAGGGTGAATTAGGACGAGTAGGAGAGGGTGAGAATGAGCAGCTCTAAGCGAAAAACAAAAAAAAAAAAAACCAAAGTTTTTCGAGAATTTCAAAATTGAACGCCAAAGTTGGACTCACACTGACGTGACATTTATAAGAGCAGCAGCGGAGAGCAGTGATCAACAGCCAACACGACACGACAGACACCCCTGCCTCCCCCGACACACCGCCACACACCGCGAGCTACCTCTGACTGGCATTTTATCCGTTCCGCGTCTGACCGGAAGGTTCTTGTTAGGGCAGCATTGTTTTCAGAGCAGCAGGTCATGTTGGCGTTTCGGATGAGCTGGGGCTGGCCGGGTGTGGCCGGGTGTGTCGTGATGGTAGGCGGAGCTGTGCTGCTGTGCCGCGTATACCATGCTCAGCGACGCAAGTCGCCACTGCGACGGACCATCTTTGACGACCTGCTGCGCGCCCTCAAGCTGCAAGCGCCTTTGGCCGAGATTGAGCGTCTCTTCCTACAACTCACGCTTGCAGAAGAGGGCGGGGTTGCCCGGGTCTTGCGGATGAGTTTGGCGACCGTTATCGGCCTGTGTGGTTACGATCCCACGGCTGATACCGACAGCGCGGCCCTACAGCTTATTCGCCCCGTGCAACAGTCGACGCATTGCCTCTTTGCCAAGCGTGCTCAGCTGTGGGGGGCCCCGACTGACTGGCAAGAGGGCTTGCCTGGCCATGCCAAACAAGAAGACCGCGGTCAGCAGAGTGGAGCAGCACTGCCTCACAAGGCGGCACAGCTCTTGCGTGCCATGACCTTGATGGCGGCGTACATGCACCGGATCGATGGATTTGTGATTGACTTTCACCACCCCCACAAATTGGTCACGGTGGATGACCACGCGCGTGCTGTCAACGACCTGCTGGTTTTTCTCAGGTGCGCACACATGCATACCATCGCTGTTCCTGTTGCTGTCATCGTCTCCTCTTGCTTGAATCTATGCCAGCCCGTGATGTCTGTTCATTTCTGCATGGGCCCCGGGTTTTCCACCGCGCACCACCGCTGGCCTACAGCACCCATGATCCGAGTGGGCGCCACTGCATGGCGAGCCAGCGCGTAGGTCGTCTGGGCTGGACTGTCTCTTTTGGGGAGGCAGAATACTTTGTGACGACATTTTGCAATGCTTATCATCCCGGCATCAGCCGACGCTGTGAAGCCGAGGGCGTCAGTCTCATTCTGTTTCAGCCTTATAATTCCTTCTTGTTGCACAATATTGGAGACGAAACCCCAAAGAGTGCGACCTGTTGGGACAACCCTCGACATATTCGAGATCGCATCCGGTACGTCATCTTCTCGGTAGCCGCTTCGGTTGTCTTCGCCCGCCTCATGGAGAACCCATTCGGCTGCGCGCATAGAGCCAAGTTTCATGCACATGGGGTATGGTATCCCATTGCGGAAGCACCACAGCTTTATCCAGCAGCTTACAACATTGTGCTTCCAAACAAGGCCGACGACAACATCGTGGTCGACTGGTGGTCTCAGCGCGGAGCCCGACATTTTTTTCTTCAAGAATCGGGTGACGAGTACAACACGCCGACACACGCACCATCGCACGCGCACAGGCCCATTCACATTTGATGCATACCAAGACACCCATCCATGATAGCATTCATTTTTTTTTTAGCGATCCGTAATTGACAAGCTTTGTGCACACTAGCGATCGTCGAGTCAAAACCAATGGATCAAGTGAGGGTGGAGATGAGGTCTGATAGACAAAAGAAGGTGCAATATTTTGATGCGTAAAACTGTCAAGGCCAGGGCTGCTTGGTGCATTCAACACATGACATCAGAGAACCGCCACATGATCAGGCGTGTGAAGTTGCTTCGGTAGCACCAGCATCATCACCGTCATCTGCTCGGCCAGCATTGTTGAGGGGCGATTCCAGGGCCTGCTCGGCCACTTCTGTGGCAATGCCCGGGGTCAGGGCTGACACGGGCACCGAGGAGTCGGGGGCCTCAGCGTCCTCCTTTGTGGTGTTGCCATGCCCTGCCAAGGGTGGAGATTCAGCTAGCATTGTTAAGGGCCCCGGTGCAGCTCTGACTTTGTGCGCCGCACCTTCCATGGACGCGGGGCGCAAGGTCGTTGTGGATGATGGTGGCGAAGGAAGGTCGGTGGACACCAAGCCTGGTCCGCTTTCACGCATGCTATCAAGCGCGGCTTGCTCCGAGGCAGAGAGTTGTGTCAACTGTTGTGCCAAGCCTTGGATGAGCGTATCTACGGTCCGCGAGATGCGCTGGCGAGCGGCAATGGACGCACGCAGCTCCATCTAATGAGGGAAAAATGGTGGGGGTTTGAGGCAATCAAATGATGCTGTTAGCGATGCATTCACTAATGCAAACGACCCGAGTGACAAGTTGCTGCTTTGCAAGCACTTGGGCACCTTGGTCTGCTCGCGGCAGGTAGCCTGGATGGCTGCGGTACAAGTGCTCAAATACTCGCGCGAGCGCAAAAGGCTGGCATCAATCTACGCGGCGCCACAGAACGATCTGTATTCAGGAAGGTGGCAGAATGACCAGACAACACTCATCCCCTCGGCCAGCCGAGTACTGATCGCGGAAGAAAAAGAAATGTCAGAGAAGAGAGATGTACCTGGCGCTGTTGCTCCTGTGTGGTCTGGGCCAAACGTGCTCGAATATCATCTTGCAATTCCTAAGACCAATCGCGGACACAACACGTCAACAAGAAAGTGCAGGCTGTCTCCAGGTAGGCTGAGGACAGCACATACCTGCGTGGCCGTCTTGGTTTGTGCTTGAAATTGGGTGTTCATGTTTGTCAAGGCCTGGCTCAAACCCTCTTTTTGCTCCTCTTGTAATTTGGTTGCCAAGGTGTCGGCTTGATCTATCAAGCCGGCAATCATGGGTAGTGGAGGCAGGATGGCGCGCCATGAATCAGAAGAGAGCTGACAAAGGCGGCCGATCACGAGTAGAGTGTGTGCAGGGGTCGTGTCTCCCTGACCGGTAGCGTTTTGGCGCAGCATCTCCAGGCTCTCCTCCTGCCAGGCTTGCAGTTGGGCTTGCAAGGCCTGCTTAAATCCGTCCACTTGCTCCTTGGTTTCTCGCTCCATTTGTTCGTGCTGGGTGCGTGCTGCCGTCAAGGTGGCTTCAGTGCGCTAAAAGAGCGGGCCCAAGAGCAAGGGGTGAGATGTTCGCTCATTTGTTGCTTTGTTGGCATGTGCGCTCAGCACGAGCGGTGTATAATATATGAGGTGGTCGTTGGTTGGTGGTCAGAGCCACGATGCATAACAGCACAGGGAATTGCACCTCGGCGATTTGCTCTTGGCGTTGAGTTTCACGCTGCTCAAGCTCGCGTTGAAGCTGATCGATGCGCTCGGCAATCAGTGTAGCACAGCGGTCAAAGACAGTGTCCGAAGTTTTCTCTAGTTGCTGGGCTGCAGCATCACGCTCCTCACGCAGAGCTTTGATAAAAGTCTATGCCCATACCAGGTCAGGTGACAGGGTGGGAGGTTGCAGGGCTCGGAAGATGTGTAATGCCGCGGCCGTCGGTTGCAGGGTGGCACACCTCTTGCTGGTTTTGGAGAGCTGCCACAAAATTGGCTTTGTGCTCGGCCAGAGTGGCTTGTTGCTGCGTACGGAGGCTTGCGCGCTCTTCCTGGATCCTACGGTTGGCATCATGCTAATCAGCTTGAGGTTGACAGCAAAAGCCTCAGAAGTGGGGGGCTTGCACCAACGCACGCTCGTCGGATGTCGGCCTCGTTCTTCTCCATGAGGGCCTTCATTTGTTCGGTCCAGCTGGCATGTTCCTGCATCACAGTTGTCGCGACCCAAACAATAACGGGGACATGCTTAGCAAGAACGTGCAGGATCAAGGATAGAGGGCACCAAGACAAATCGCTCGACGCTGAGAGAGCGCATTGGATGTTTATGACGACACGCCGACCTGGTCATGCTGAGCATTGAGGCGCTGTTGCTGCTCGCGTAAAGTCTCGAGGGCCTCTGCTTCTGCACCCGTTGCAGTGCTGGCCTGAGCTTGCAGCGCGTCCTGTCTCAATTATCCATCAATAGGCACATGAGACCAGATCTGTGTCCCTCAGCAGAGGGTGCTTGGGCGCCGAGGCGGGGACTGCTTGAGTCGAGCAAGCTTGGGGTTGGGGGGCGAGCATGACTCACGCGTTCAGCTTCAGCCTGCTTAAGGCTGGCCTGGAGTTTGCTCAAGTGAGCCTCCAGCTATGCAGACGGGCAGACGGAAAACCAATCAATAAACCCATGCCATGCTGATTCAAAGACCAAAGTAGGTTGCTGTTGCTCTCCGAGGTTAGCAAGAGGGCAAGAAACTCGACTCACATCGGTGATTTTGGTGGCATAGCGCTGCTCGAGCTCACGACGAAGCTCCTACACAAGATGCATCACTCTGAGTGGGACACGGGCACACAGCGAGGGGGAATGGGGTGGCGCAGGAAGGGCAGGAGAGCATACTGCTACATCAGGGACAGGTGGTCCAGCCGGCGGCTGGGAATTTGCAAAGCTTGACAGGTCACTGGGCTGCTGACTAGCCTCTGCCGGCGTTGTGCCAGGGGGCTGTCAAGAAAGAAAGGTGGTGGCATCGAGCCTTTTGACGGTGAGTGCTGCGGCTCCAAGCTCCAAGGTGTTCTGGGGTCAAAACGGGACAGCACGCTTAGTGACTGACGTACCGTCGTCGCTGGTGGCTGGTCTGTCGCTGGCGGCAGGGCAGAGCCAAAGGCAGCCCACTCATCCTCGTCGGTTGCTGGTGCAGTGACCGGCGTCTGCGCGGGCTGCGCGGGCTGCGCGGGCTGCGTTGTGGCCGGCGCCGACTCAAAGGCCGTAAAGTCTCCAAAATCATCATCCTCATCAGCCATCGTGTGTCGTGTCGGGGATGTTTTGATCGTCGCAGCGGAAGACGAAGTCAGTGAACTGCTCAAGGGAAATCTATCCAATGTCTCTCTGTCTCTCTCTGTCTTTTGTCTGTCTGTCTTTGTTTCTCTAATTCTCTCTGTCTCTGTCTCTAATCCTCTCTGTCTCTGTCTCTCTCTGCCTCGAAGTCTCTGTCTCAAACCAATTCAATTCTGTCTCTGTGTGTGTCTCTCTCTGTCTCTCTGTCTCTTTGTCTCTCTGTCTGTCTCTGTGTCTCTCTCTGTCTCTGTTGTTGATGTTTTAAGCGACGCGATCGTCAGTTGCGGCGCGTGCTTCGGATTCTGGTCACTGAGCCCTCTGCCATCGCTCTCGCCCTCGCTGTTCTGCCTCTGCTATTCCTGCTGTGATACTTCTTCTGCCCGGTTTCTTCCTGCGAGGTCCTCTCATCTCAGTCTTGAGATCGTCAGCTGTTGCCACAAGGCTTTTGGCTGGCAACTCATCGTCACCGTCGCTGCATTGCTGTCTGCGATCGGTGGGTCAATCATAGAGTCTTCGCTCTGTTGGTGGCGAGACAATCGTGACACAATGGAGCCACGTTTACCTTCTGGCCGCTGGGCCACGGCGGCCATGCTTCTGCTGCTGCTGGCGCTCAGTGGCTCGATCGTCGAAGCTCGCCCGATGGGCGCCAACATGACGGGTCGTGCCTTCATTCCTTTTCGCGTTGGCAGGTTCGAATCTCACCTTGTTCATCGCTCTGGTGCCCACCCGCCGATCGAAAGCAGAGCGGCCTCTGTTCACGCGCCTCTCCTGCTCGATCGCTCGTCCCTGCAGGGTCACACCGCAAGGCTGGCTCTTGAAGCAACTCGAGCTTCAAGCTGAGGGACTGGGCGGCCATCTGGCCCACTTTTGGGATGATGTCATGAATTCAGTTTGGATCGGGGGTGATGCCGATGGCGGCCTTCACGAGCGAGTGCCCTACTGGCTTAATGGCATGGTGCCACTTGCCTTTCTGCTCAAGAATGCCAACTCCCCGTTTGCCTACCATGGTATCAAGGATGTCCATCAACCAGATGACCAGCTTTGCCAGGCCAACGTCGACATGCAGAATCACGATATTACCAACTTTCCCGTAAGCATATCAAAGAGCCGAAATGAAGCCTATTACAGGCTGCCACCCGATGCTTCTTCTTGCCGGGCCAATGCCTGACATTCGCATCTCTGGCTGCCGCAGGTCCAAAGACCCGAAGACTGCCGCCAGTCTTGCCTGAACAATACTGCTTGCGTCGCCATTGTCCTCAACAACTGCACCAACCCCCCAACCTGCTGGCTCAAGTCTGGCATTGGCCGTGCTGACGAAACGACCTGCCGATGCTTTGGTGTGACCCGCTCAGCTCGTGTGCACGTGCACAAGTGCTGCCACTGCCGATTGACTCTGCCCGTCTTGATCCACGCAATTGCTTCTGTTCCTCACTTGAATAGGCGTTGTCAAGCCCTTCACTGCTGAGGAAGGCATCATGAGTACGCATCGTTCTTGAGATCGCAACTCCGGTTTGCCACCTAGTCCCGCATTCCGATCTCACTTGAAGCTCACAAAATGCAGATCAAACGGAGCGCTTTATCAACCATATTCTAAATGCGCAAGCTGCCAGCGGCTGGCTCGGCCCGGATGATATGCCAACAAGCGGTGACATGTACTGGGGCAACTTCCCCGTCCTGCTCTCTTTGGCCATGTACGCTGAAGGCAACCCCACCATGGAGGAGACCATTGCAACTGCCATGCTCAAATTCTTTCAAGAAGCCAACCGGTAAGTTGAGCGCGTGTCGGCCTAGACCTTTCCTTTGTCTCGATAACTCATGTCATCCCCCCGGCTTGACCTGCCCTCTTGGCTCTGTAAATTGGCGGCAACGGCCTCTCACTTCCACAGCCGCATGTCCAACGTTCCCATGAGCGATTGGTCTCAAGCCCGCGGCATGGACTTTGCTTTGGCCGTACAATGGGTTTTAGAAAACGCTCCTAATGGTCAGGAAGCCTTTTTGCAAGACTTTCTTGCTACCGTTCAGAACCAGGTATTGCCTAGTTGCTCGAATCTCGTTGCCCTACTCGCCACATCTGCCAGATTTGCTACCAGCGGCCACCCCCGACCGGCTCAAGCACGAGTGCTCTTTTTCTCCCGGCTTGACCACTTTGCCTAGACTTTGGACTGGGAAACCTGGTTTCAAGACTTTACCACCGGGGCCTCGCCACATGGTGTCAACAACGCTCAAGTCTGTTTTGAACGCTTGTTTGATTCAAAAGCGTCGACCATGCATGCGTCTCATGCACCCCTGGCCCCACCTCTAGGCGCTCAAATCATCTGGAGTCTGGTATCTGTCCACAGGCGACCCCAGCTTCACCGAATCCTCAAAGGACCGCATGCGAAACATGGATGATTTCTATGGCATGGCTTCTGGTGCGACCTGTCCCAAGAACCGTCCGCTTCTGTGGTCCCAAGAACCGTCCGCTTCTGTGTCGAGTGTCGAGTGATGAGTCCTGAGCCCAAGCGATTATTTATCACGCACGCCAGCCTTGTTTAGCACGACGCTCAACCCCACAATATGGCTTTTGAATAGGCATGTTTTGTGCCGATGAAATCCTGTGCGAGGCAAACGAACGCAAAATGCCCTCGCGTGGGACCGAGCTCTGCGCTGTCGTTGAGGCCATGTTCTCCTACAACACCTTGTTCAGTGTTCACGGTTTGTGTTGCGACTATAGCCCGTAGCGCCCTCTACTCTCAAACTGGCACTGACTCCAAGGGTGCATGCTTGTAGGTGATGTGGCTTTTGCTGATCGTGCCGAGCGTATTGCCTACAATGCTCTACCCGCCACCTTTGCATCGCCCCGTGGTGGTGATATGTGGTCCCACCAGTATCTGCAGGTACTCATGTCTGAGCCATGCTTGGTCTGGCAGATAGCCACCCCACGGGGCAAGTAGCTTCTTCGGATCAAATGCTCAGTTGGTCTTGCGCCGATCCGTGTGTAGGGCCTGAATGAGATCAATGCCCAGGTATCGGATGACCATGTTTGGACGCATGACGGTGGAGATGCGCAGCTTTACGGGTTTGTATGGACTGGTTTTGCCAGGCCGCCAGCTCTTGCTTGGTCTGCTCCCACAGTAGCTGCCCTCTCACCACTCCCGTTTTCTTGCCATGCTGCTCCAGTCTTGCTCCAAACTATGGTTGCTGCACCGCCAACTTTGGACAAGGTTAGCCGGGCTGATGAGTCAGGTTCCCATCGCAGCCCTTGCATGGCACATTTAAGCATTGAGCCTTGATTGATGATGGGATGAATGCGATGCGTGTCTTGCTCATGCTTTTGGGACCTCCGCAGGTTGGCCGAAGTTTGCCAACATGTTGCTGTACGAGCGCAACGATGGCTCGGTCGCGGTTGGCGCCTACGGCCCCGTGGCCGGCACCTCGACCAATGGCGTTTTTGTCAACATGACGACCGAATATCCCTATGGCGATACGGTATCCATTGCGGTGCACACAAATTACTCGACCACCCTGCACCTACGCATTCCCACTTGGGCCCACACCGCCCAAGTGGAGATTGACGGCTCTGCCGTCTCCAACATCACAGCTGGTATCATGAACCCGGTGAGCTTATGCTCCTGAGCTCTGCGCATGTTCTTGTCGAGGAAGTAAAAGAAAGCGTGACACCATTTGAAGGGCAAGAGCCTCGAGAACTCATGGTACATATGCGTTGGTCTGCGTGATAGGTGGCCATTCCGGCCGGCAAGCACACGGTTCTGGTCAACCTCAAGCCCGAAATTCGCCTCGAGCATTGGTACGACTGTAGCTTGCACCAGCCGCCCCAAAGAAGAGTTGAAATGCATTTCATTGCCCCACTGTTGGGTTAACCTGGATGTGAATCGCTCCACAGGTACTCGGAAGAGACGGTGAGCGTGCATCGTGGTGCACTCATGTACAGCCTGCCGATCCAAGGCAGCTACACAACTCTGGTGGAATATGCCTACGAGTCGAACGATTATCAAGTCTTGCCCACGAGCGAGTGGCGCTACGCCCTGGACGTACGTTTATCGCTACGGTTGGTACACAACCAGCTTGCGCAAGGCTTCTCATCATCGACCGGCTTGTCGTTTTTTTCTTGTCCTCGTGTGGGTCTTGCTCGGTGGGCTTGTGCTTTTTAGTTGGATTTTGACAACATAACGAGCAATTTTGAGTTCAGCAACCCTGGGCTCGGCAAGGACTTGGTTGCATTCAACCACACGGCCTGGGGCGCCACCATTGCCACCAAGGGTCGTGTCGTGCCCAACTGGGAGATTGCTCACAATGCGGCAGCGGCGCCTCCTGCCTCGCCCGTTTGCGATGGTTTGTACATCTCTTCGGCCTGCCTCGTACCGTACGAGCTTTTGGCCTGTGTTTTTTTACTTTTCTTCTCATCCCGCCCCTGCTGGACTTTGGATTGAATGGCTTGTAGACGTTCAATGCCAGCCAACTCAGAGCATTACATTGGTGCCATATGGCGGAACGGATTTGCGCATTTCCGAGTTTCCTTGGGCGTAAATATCTCGGATGAGGGGATGTCATCGTTATTAAATTGGCCGCTACACGCCACAGCCAATTGAGAAGACTACACATGCGTGCACTTACACGGGGCACTTGCACTCCCCGACACATCATAAGGCGCAGCTCAAAAAAGCCCAAAGCGTTCTCAGAACGATGGCAATGCGTGACATCTCTTTGTCGAATCATGGGTCTTGGGCCAGACCTTGCTGAGTCGTGAACAAGTGGCGGGGAACAGCTTGGCGATGATTGGCGAGAGGCATCTTTGTCCGAACCTCAGTAATCCGCTCTAAATCAATAGTGACGGCCAATAAGCCTTCATTTTCAGCATCGCCGTCCACAAGCACATCGCCCCAAGGATCAACGACGAGCGAGTGCCCATACGAGCGGCGCGTAGACCTGAACAACATCGGGCACGACGAAAGCAGCAATGAGGGGCGTCAAGGCCAGGCCAGGCACAGCGAGCCGGCGTGGTAGGCCCATGGAAAGCACGAGGTGGCGATTGGTAGTCTTCGCGGACTGACGGTGCGTGTGTGCCGGCTTGAGCGGCAGCAATGACAAAGCATTGTGTTTCGATAGCGCGCGCACGGAGCAAAGCCTCCCAATGGGCCTTGCCAGTGCTATCCAAGTGAGGGAACGAGTCAAAGAGTGCTCGAGGGAAAACGTAAACGGGCGGGGGAATCGGGTTTGACGCCATATGCAACATCATAAATACCTAGGCATAAAGGCGCTGGGGACTAGAAGCACATCGGCACCACGAGCACGGAGCTCCGTGTAGACTTCGGGAAAGCGAACATCGTAGCAAATGCTCAGCCCGAGAGTTCCCAGGGGAGTATCTGGCACGGTCACCAGAGTGCGGCCTGGTTGCGTGAAATCACTTTCCTGATGAGGTGATCATGTTTGACACATAAGGAGACAGCAGCCCAACACAGGAGAAACGGTTTGAGGGGGGCAGGCTCGGACCTTGAAGACGCCGTCGGCCGTATCGACATCGAAAAGGTGAATTTTATCGTAGGTGGAGCGAACTTGACCCAGCGGATCAACTATCACGTGACGATTGGCGATGCGCTTTTGGGGGTCATCCGTCTGAACATGAGCCCCGCCGAAGGATGCCCAGATGCTGTGTTGCTTGCAGAGGTCCCAGTACCGTGTCAGCGCGGCATGTGTCGTCGGCACGGCTCGAGACTTGGTTTCCTCAACAGGCAAGCCGATCCAATCAAAGGCCTCTGGTAAGAACAGCATTCGACATTGTGCCTTTGCTGCTTGTGCAAATAAGTCTGCGATGCGTCTGGCATAGTCGCCGCGGCATGAACGGGCGCATCAAAACCCCAACCTCAGCGCGGACTTTGGACAGTGATCACGACGCACCGAAAGTTATGCTCAGCATCAGCTGTTGTTGACAGCTGCAGCACGCCCACATTGACGCGACGTGCCATGCTCGCCACAGGTGCAGCCATGCCTGTCCTGCCGTCAGCGCTGCCGTAACCGCCCACACGTCCCGGCTGCTTGCACTGCAATCTTTTTTTAAAAAAAAGAAGAAGAAGAAGAAGAAGAGAGAGAGAGAGAGAGAGAGAGAGAGAGAATTTTCGTCGAATCATTCGAAAACATGAAATTGATCTGGATTGACAGGGCGCCGATGTTGAACATCAAAAGCGGTGGTGGCACAAACAATGGAGACGAAGAGGGGGAGGAGGTGATTGACCTGGTAGCTGGGACTAGTAGAGGCAGAAAGCCAACAAATCGTGGGTCTGAGGGTTGTCACAAAATAAACTATGACTGGTACCTGGGCACTTGATCGCCATGCGAATATACAAGACTTGGTGCTGCCTTACGCGGATTCGGGAACGCCATAGAGATCTCGCATGTTGAAGGGGATGAGCGCCAACATCAGCGCTTGTTCATAGTATGTGGTTCGTGTGACGGCCATGGAGGTCAACAAGCCCACGGCACCACCCCCCTGCTTGCTTTTCTTGGTCTTGAATACTTCGTCATTGGCGTGCCCCAGTTCCATGCCCCCCTCAACGAGCTGCTGCACGCGTGCCGGAAGCTCAAAGGTCCCAGTCTTGGCCTTGCCTTCAATGCCCGTCTTGGCTTCCAGAACGGCCATCCATGCAAAGCATGTGAGAGTGCGTTTTGGGGCCGCTGTTTGGCCTGGTGCCGGTGATGTCTCGCAGTAACCACAGCCACCCTCGAGACCGCAGTAATAGTCGGCACCGGGTGCAAGCTCCAGGGCGTTGCGGGTTCGATTGCGGGCCCCAGTCAGCGTCTCATCATCTCCCATGGGCTGGTCTGCCACACCCGAAGGCGCATTGACTAGAATGTGCGCAGCGTTGGCACCAATCCAGGCGTCAGCTTGTGGTAGCCGGCAGAGATGGGCTCACACGGGATCCCGACCCCCAGGCACTCACCGGTAGAAACTTCAATGGTGTCATCGGGAAACATGGTCGTAAAAGCCGCTTTGACAGCGGCAGCCTTGACTGGGTTGGTCGACCCCACAACGACATGAATAGGTGCCATCTTGCCCGGTCGGTGTTGAGCTGCAAGACGTCGCTATGGCAAGCTAGAGGAAAGTACACCTCGCTGTCAGACACAGCTCATGACACAAACGACGGCAGCCTGCCAGCTGGGCACCAGCCTTTGCTGTCTCGACCCTTGAATTCCAAGCAGTACGCCACCACCACCGACCTTTGGCGTTTGTGTCGAAAAGGTGTGCGATCCTCCTGAGCGCACGATCGATTTTGCAAAACGACGTGTGTGTGTGTGTGTGTGTGTGTGCGTGTGTGTGTGTGTGTATGTAACGGTCGGTAGTTGTCAGACGTTTCTTCATCTTTTGCTGCTCGTTTCATCTGTGTGTGTGTGTGTTTCGCGTCTGGTCTGGTATGGGCTGCGCTCTTCTGGCCCGCACTTTGCGCTCGTGCTTGCTCCCTTCGGGCGGATTGGGGGGCGGGGAATGGGTTTGATGTTTGAGTTTTGCTTTTGATTTGATCTTGGCCTCGGTCGTGCATCAAGCCTTTGGTTCGGTTGGTCTCAAAATCGTGCATCAATCATGGAGCCATCACCCAAGCGGACGCGGCTGGAGCCGGACCTGAACGGGCATGAGCCTCCACAGCCACTGTATCAAACGGCCTACCTGGACGCTGCTCCGACGATCGGCATTGGATTCTATCATGTTACCTGCGTCAACCTAGCCGCAGCCCCACAGCAACTTGAACTGAAACTAAGGTGAGAAGCTGCCCACAACACCGCGCTGCCTCAATGCGAAAGAAATTGTTGCCCATCGGTATGCATGTGATGTGCCGCAGCTTCCTGGCTGAGGCCGTGAGTGCGGGACGTGTCATGGTTCAATCACCCGAGCAAGAGCAATACCTCGCATCAGCTCAGGCTCTCTGTAACCATCGTAACAACGTTTACGGTAACAACCAGCCGTCGTCACTCCGTCTCTTGCGTTGCGTATGGAAAAGCAATTCTAGGGACGGCCTGGCTAACTGAGCTTCCTGTGATCAGGACAATCACTCCTCCGTGTTGCGGTGCGCGAGCGAGTTGCTGAGGATCAGCTGGCACCTTTTCATCCCGCCACGCGCGAATTGCAACCGGAGGGGCGCCTCACAGTGGTGCTTTTGGTTCACATCCAACCGCGCATTTTCGATATCCATACCGACTTTGACCTTTGGTATTCGCCTATATTTTATTGCTAAGGCACCCGTCTCGACAGTCCTGACACCTCGACGTGCTGGATCACCATCGCTCACTCGAAAACCAATGACATCTTTCCTTTCAGGTTTGTGCTCAGTCATCTCAATGCACGTGGCTACGTGCGCCGATGTCCACCGGTGCCCCTGAGCATCGCTGCCAAGCTTCGAGATGCCAAGCGACAAGGTACAGTCGCCTGCCTCGCTCGCGTCAAGTGCTGGGGAGAGACCATTTCATTCTTTTTTGCATCCTCTGACTTGATTCACACACACACACACACACACACACACACACACACACACACACACACACACACACATATCCCGCTCTCTGTTGCACACGCGCCTTCACTGTCTTGATGCCAACTGATGTCTACGGCCCTAGGCCAGGACTGTCACATTCCAGGCGATCTGCTGGCAAGCAACGTGCCAGCCCGTGCCTTGTCCGATCCTCGTTATTGGTTCTCCATCCCGGGGGTTCTCAAGCTCGTGGAAAACTCGGGCTATCGTGCCGCCTCGCAGGTAAGCCAATCCGCTTGAAGATGGCGGATGCTGGCCCCATCTGCACTTCGAGATCATGTGAGTCAGATACCACTTGCTGGCCCGTTGACCTCCACTGTACGTGGTATTGTTTAGCCTCGCAATATCGACGTCACCTTGCACGAGTACCAGCTGCAGACCTTGGCATGGATGATTGACCAAGAAAAGGATCCCCTGGGGCTCAACGGGCGCTTTTGGGAGCAACATGTCATTTTGAGGCCCAACAAGGTTCAGGCGTGACAAGGAAATCAGCCGATTGCTCTTATCATTGGCGAAATGATGGCGTACTCCTCAACCGACCTTTTCCGTTTGTTTGTTTGTTTTTTGTTTTTTAGACGCCTTTTACTTTCTACTTTTCGCCTGTAGCCGGCGAAATGCTTGCACAGCCTCCACCCTTGACGACAGGAGGTTTTGTGTACGTCTTTCGCTCTGACTGGACCTTTGTGGGGTGTTACCCATTGCCGCATTTGTGCCTTGTCACACACACTCCCTCTCTCTTACATGCCATTGTACATTGTATCCGCTGCTGCCCATAGATGCGAGGAGATGGGTATGGGCAAAACGCTTGAAGTCATTTCCCTTATCCTGGTACGCCCTTTCTCCTGGCCAAAGCGCCGTCTCACTCCTTGCATCTGTGCTGATATTTGGCTTCGGCGTACTCTCACACACCATGCCGATTGCCTTTGCTTCAGGAGAATCCGGCGCCGGTCTCCCTGCCACAGCGCGCCACTCTTGTGGTAAGCTCTTGCTCAAGATGATTTCGTCGCTGCTTTGAAGCTCATACACCGCTTGCCGGCCACATGTTGTCATGGATGTCTTGCCAACCATTCTAGATCGTACCCTTGACTTTGCTCTCGCAATGGCAAGAGGAAATTATGAATCATGTCAAAGGCCATGACCTACTCGTCACCACCTACCGCGGCCTCAGCGATGCAGAATGCCTGTCGCCAAGCGAGCAAGTCCATGCAGTGTGACCTCACTATTGTGCCGTGCAGCACTTGACTCATGGCCGTTTTGGGCAACCGCGGGGCTTCTGAAACAGATTTGGCTATCGCCTGCATACAAGTTCAGCGCGTGTGTTGTACACGGAGGTCGAGGTGAGGGCTGTATGTGCACTACGGCTGCATTGCCCGCCGCTGGGATAGCTCCGTCTTGTTGAACACGAATCTCATTGCCTGTGTCGCTGCACAGTTGCAATGGCCCTGCCCCGTTTTCTCTGCAACTGTTAAGCAGGCGCAAAGTGCGGAGATCCTACAGGCTTATGAGGGCGGCCGCTTCTGCAGCCATCCAGCCATGCAAGGCCGCTACGCCACAGGTCGTCACTGGCACCAGGGCACCTCGCTTTTGCTGCGTCTCGTGCACGCGTGTAAATTCATGTGCTGAGCTGACGCTGTCCTTATTTTGGTGGCTGTTTGGGCAGGCTCGCGCTTGACACTCAGGCGGCAGGGCAAAGCTTCAGCAACTGGATTTGTGTGGTATGAAGTTGTGGTAAGTGCCCTTGTCGATCATTGCCATTGCGATCATTTAGACACGGCCACTCACTGTGCGGGTGTTGGCAATCGTCAAAATCACCGTTTCAGCCCGCAACGCGACGTCTCAAGGTGCGGTGAGCATGGGCGCGGCCCTCTCTTGCACTCGTTTTCGGCACGCGCGCCCCAGCCGACTCTTGCCGAGTCTTGATTGCGCAAAAGTCACCCCTATTGTGATGATGCGAGCGTAGAAATCGCGGAATGCCACGTTTATTTTAGCGTGCGATAGCACGTTCAAGGTCGTGCCTCGACCTGCAATCTGGCATACTGTTGCTGTAACCTTGCCAGAGGTGCTCGGCACCTATGACATTGTGCTGACAAAGTGTGTTGGTTCAAAACCACGCCTGCCCATTGCTGCGCACTTGTGGCCAAAGCTGTTGTCTCGCCATTCAGCTGACGCGCATACTGCGTGTAGCTACGAAATGTTGACGACGCGCAGCGTCCTCTCTCGGGTCAAGTGGTGGCGCGTCGTTTTGGATGAGTCCCAGCGCATCCGCGGGCCTCAGGGCGTGACTAACCAAACAATCTGCAAGCTGCAGCGACAGCATAGCTGGTACGCCATCAACGTTCGTTGTATCGTGTCACGTTGCTTTGCATTCATGTTCGGCTCCGTCTGAAGTTGGCATGAAAGATTCGGTGTGATTCGTCGGAAGACGTGTACCCTATGTCACTGCTGTCCTTTGCCTCTTGACATTGCCCATGAACGTTGTGCACGCTGACGTCTTGCCGCTGTATTGGGCTGGTTGTTAGGCTGGTGTCTGGCACGCCAGCCAGCAACGTTGTGGATGACTTGCTTGGACAGCTCTTGTTCTTGCGTGTTGAGGTACGAGCTCATACACCCCGTCTTCAGTCCTCTTTCTTGTCCAGACACGGCCGTGCACGCCACTTCCTGAGCCTTGCAATGCTTCATGGCTCGCAGCTCAGTTGACTCATCCACACTGTCATTCGCTAGCCTTGGTGTCGCATCGGGCCACAAGTTCATTCCTTTTGGCAGAGTGAGGTGACCGAGCATTGGAATAACTTTGATGAAGATGTGCTGAAAACCGTTCAAACCTTGTTAGGACACATCATGATGCGCCACTCCAAATCACAAACCGTCAACGGTCGTCCCATCATTACCCTTCCACGGCGCACCGTTGTTGAGGTGCCTTTGGTTTACATGACCAGCTCAGAGGAGTACGTGTACAAGTATCTCGAGGAGCGTGTGATTCAACTCTGTCGACAGCCCCACAGTGGGCGCAATTTGCTCGTCGCCTTCAATCGGTAATATTGTCTCAGCCAAATTTGAAGCAAGCTTATCCGTGCCTAAACTCATGCTGCCCTAAGTTAATGGTTGGCTCTGACATCCCGTGCTCTTGAACACCTATGCCCTTGCATGCGCGCACAGATTGCTGCTGTTCTGTTCTCATGCAGCCAACATCAACTTGCGCCAATTTGGGATGGACTTGGGCGTGGCCAAGCAGAGCGAGCGTCGCTTTCGCCTCGTGTCTGAGCTGGCCCAGCATACCGGCCTGGACAACGTCTTGCTCAATACCTTGTGCGTCAAAGAAACTTCTGCTACTTGTGGGCTGACAAAGACAGTGCTCGTTCTCACGAGCTGGCCGTGTTGTGCTCAGATTGAACAACAACGACTGGTCACCGGCACGGGCGCTCGAGGCAGCTGGATACACACGTGAACAAGCCAGTAACATTCTTACCAGATTATCCAACGTTTATACGGAGCTATCACAAATGATGACCCCTGCCACGTTTCTGCGTACCGTGGCCCCCCACGCCACGGCATCAGCAAGCAACGCCCTTGAGATGATCGGGCATCTGCGTGATGGTACGCCAGCAAAGCAAAAGACGCGCTTGGAACCACGCGGATTTCCAACACTCCACCACATGGCTTGCTCCAATTTCCTTTTTGCGCTCTGATGCCCCGTGCCTTTGCTCTCGACATAGCCACATGTTTGGAAACAAACAACTTTGCCGATTGCAGCGTGTGCTCGACGGACCTTCTCTGCCCCATTTGCCAAGACGTGCGTCAAATTGCTGGCCATCAGTAAATTGGCTTGAACGAGCGGTCCTCACCTCGCCCCATGCTGCCTTTTAGATCGCCCAACAGCCTACTTTGACTCGCTGCTTGCACTTGTTTTGCAACGAGTGTATTTCAAAACATCTTGCTCTCGTGTCAACTCAGACCAACAAGCGTGGTGTACGTAATGATTATTTCCCTGCTGCGTGTCTGCTTGACGTTGGCCCGCTCGCCTGCACCACTGTCATCGGGTAGTGGCAGAAACCTATATTTTCTTGAGGCGTTACAGACCATGCTCGTAGGCTGCCTCAACGCCCAATGCCCCCCCGCCCCTCCTGTTTATATCACCTGCCTCTTACAGCTTCGCGGGCCATGTCCCCTCTGCAAAGCCAATGTGGCATTTGACGAGGCAATACAGCTGATAGCTGACCCAGACAAAGTTGTGACAGGTGTGCATACCGGTCGTATCGTGCAGTCGCTCCAGTTGAACATGCAAACCTGCACCTGATCACAACGCTATGCTCACGCGATAGATCCGGCGGGCGCCGCGCCATCGGCTGAAGCAACGTCCACCAGCACTCCTGATCCGGAGCGCCACTATACGAGCTTGCCAGACCCCAAGGCTGAGGCAAGTTTGATTTCTCGTCTTCATTATGTATCAGAGCTTGAGGGTGTGACCATGGGTTCGCCCGAATTCGGCGTGGACAGGGCAGGAATGCATCGGCGTTGTTTCTACGCAGTGTGCATCGGCATTGTTTCGACGCAGTGTGGACCCAAAGTCTGCATCACTCATTTGCCTCGTCGCGTCGTCTGCCGTGTGTTGTTGTTGTTGGTCTTTGGATGCATTTCGAATCCATTGGTGGCGAATGGGTTTTTTATGCACTTCAGGAGCTGCGCATGGTGATGGCACCTGGATACCAAGTATTGAGTTTTGACGTGCCTCCAATGGCAGGATCTGTCCCCGTGTCGTTGGACATCGACTTTGATGCGCCGTACCACAAGACAGCTGTGGTAGTGACCGAGCCAAGCGGGCGTATCTTGGACTCGCAAGAAGCACAATTGTGGCAGCCTGATGAAAGCTTTGTGCTCAAGCTGCGGCATCGCGCTGGTTTGTCCTCGGGACCAACTGCCAACTTGTCAATATTTTTATCTCAGACCTGAGACTGGGCGTGCTTGTCTCTCTCTCTATCTCTCTTACCTCCCGCCTTTCTCTTCTTCTCTGCTATTAGGCGGACGCCTTCGTGTGCAGATTGGCCTCGAACTGTATCCATTCATGACTACCCGACGTATCGAGCCTTTGGCCCCTGGGCTTGACCATCGACTTTTATCACACCTCGGTTCGGCTTGAACGAGTGTTCATGTGCTGTCATCGCGAGGCTAAATCAGCAGGGCAAACTCATCAGTCTACTCCTCATTCTGTAGATGTCGCACGCGCTCTTCCCGGAGCCAAAGTGACTCAAGCGGTGGCCATCATGAATAAGGTCCTTGCTCAAGATCCAAGGACGAAATTTGTCGTGTTTGCTTCGGTACGGTCGCTTGCGTTTGACCTGATGGTATGGTGTGACAAAATGCTGCAACTTTTACGCCATGCCTTGACTGTCGAGCTTCGTTTCTTGTCTTGTCTCGCATGCTTTAGCACTTGGAGACCTTTCGTCAATTCTTTTGGGAGTGCATCAGTCGGCTTGAGCCACCTTTAGAGCCTTCACAGCTTGAAGATTACTTGATAGATGGGGCCACGACCGCTGCAAATCGCAGCCATCTACTTCATGAATTCAAGACGGCTGAGGACATGCCTTTTCTTCTACTATCCACAAAAGCCAACAATGCAGGCTTGACACTCACCGTTGCAAACCACATCATCATGCTGGATGCCATCCTCTCTCCAGGCGTTGAGGCCCAGCTCATCAATCGCGTGCATCGAATCGGGCAGTCGCGACCTGTCACTATTCACAAGTACGTGGATATCAAGCCGTATATTCAAGGCTGACAGACACGCACCCATGGCTCACCTTCCTTTGCTCCTATCGCTCAGGCTCTTTCTCAAAGGTTCTGTCGAGGAGCGCCTTGTGCGCTTGCGGGCGCACACTCTGGCGGTAAGCCCCGACACTGGAAGCTTTCAGCTCGCATATTGACAGCCCTGCAATCCTCAAGGGTTTGGCTTCAAAGTTTTCACATTTGCTTATCGTCGGATGTATGAATAGCGCGATGGAGTCTTGACTGAGGAAGACCCTGGAGACTCTGCTTCCACGTCCATGCTGTCCAGTAGCGCCAACAATGATGACGGTGGCTTTTCTGTCGAGGACATTCGCCGACTCTATGGCTTTGACTAAGGGCTGTTGATGATGTGTGTGCCCTTCTTTGAGATGATCGGTGGTCTTGACACGTTCAAGCGACGTCAATTCGATGATTGTTTAATGACTTTGTACCAATGACTTTGTACCATGATTATACTTTGGGCGCACGAAACACTTCATTCAGAAATACATTGTGAGCGAAGACGCACGCACACACACACACACACACACACACACACACACACACACACACACACACACACACACACACACACACACACACACACACACACACACACACACACACACACACACACAGAGCAATCTATGGTACATCAATATACAACGACTGGACAGAACGAGATAATCGTGGCAATGCAACAGGCTCAGTAGCCACTGCGCCGGTCCAAAATCTCTTGCCAGTCGCCGTGTCCGCTGTCCGGCGCCGCGACCATACTCGACAAGCCCAGCGCTCGGCACAGCGGCGAGCACGTGTGGGTCTCCATAAACTGACGGATGCCCTCGGTGCCGCGATCAGTCCGACTCTTGCCATGCCGCTTGGACTCTGAGATGTGGTGAATCGCCGGATCGGTCAGCGTGAAGCCATCATAGGCGTTCCAGACGCCTTGCAAATCGCAAATCAACTCTTCTTTGCCAGTCACTTCGTACGAGAAATGGCTGAAAGCTTGTGGGACATCGTCGACATCACAAGTTGTGCCCTGCGGCAGTTCAACCGTCTCGTGCATATGCTTCTTGACTTCCCCAGAGTTGCTGTTCCACTTGACAAATTTGCCCTCTAGGGAAGGCTCTGCCAAGATCCAGGCGATGCCATTGTCGTAATACGGGTCCTTCACCTCGTATATGGTACATGGGGCAAAGGAAACGCGCAGGGCCGTTTCCAAGCTCCCCACCGTGGTGCGCACGCGCTCGTTGAATCGTTCCGCCATTGACTGCGCAAACGCCTGTGTCTTCGCCGCTCGCTCGTAGAATTTAATGTTCAGATATTCTTCAGTGGCGCTTTCCTTTGCAACTAACGCATAGCCTCGGGCTTGGGCCGGGTGCTTGGCGCCCCTGCTTGCCACTTCGGTACATTCAAAGGCAAAACGCTCCGCGCCTGCCTCAAAGTACTCTTTGCGCATGGCAATACCATTGGCGCCTTCTTCCATGGGCACATCCATCATTGCACGAGCAGCATGTGAGTATGTGTACTTGCGAACCAGATCGGGGCCAATGTACACGTCCCAGACACTACTATCCACAGCAGAGTCATCCAAGTTTTGGATTCGCTGGGCTGCTTTGTTTTTTCGGGCATTGGGGGTAGTTCCACCACCAGCCAGGCGGGTGCGCAAGGTGGTCATTGTTGAGGTCAGAGTTGTAAAAACGCTCGCCAAATGGTGCACATTCAGACCCAGCTTGTGAAATTTGCCCAGCGGCAGAACGGCAGCCATGTCCTGTAGCATGTGAAAGTCTTCTTTTGCTGGGCCAAACCCAACAGTGGTGAAGCTGAGTCGATGCTGCCCAAAAGTGTCACCAAGGTGGCGAATCTGGCGGAGACACTTTTCACGAACGGAGCGCTTGACTTGCGGCCGACACAAGTACTTTGCGTTGCCATATGGACATTCTGGCAGCTGGTTGCTGTAGCCCGAGTCCCAAACGCGCGTGCCATGGGTGCATGGCGTATGGACATGATCGCTGGGAGCTCCGTCGCTCAGCCAAAACACCATGATGCGTGAGTTGGAGGTCTTTTCTTCATCCAACAGTTTTTCCAGGGCTGCCAAGCCGGTCAGGTAAAAACCATGGTACATGGCAGTGTGGCTGGAGAGCTCCTCGAGCCCGACCTCCAAGCTGTGGTCAAGTGGGGCTCGTTGTAGAACAACTGAGGCCTCTTGTGCGGCAAGAATGAGGGAGACGGATACGTTCATGGAGGCTGTCGGGTCTTGGCGGGTCAACTCCATCTGTGGTTGTAAAAATTGTTTGAGCAAGGTCTTGAAAACGGCTTCAGTGCGAGATGAGAATCCAGGTACGTCGTCCCGACGCATCGATCCGCTGTCGTCGACCACAAATACGGCATGAATCTTGCGAGATGCAGGATCAGCCATGGGGGCATCGAACGGGTTCTCGTCTTTGCCATCAATGCGCCAGCTGCTGATGACTTGTCGCTCGGCGGCGTCGGTTATGTAAACCATGCCTCGATGAATGAATTTGTGACGCGTTTCGCCACTAGGGCCAGGGCGCGTTTTGTCGCGGCGCCCAAGCTTGATGGCTTCCTTCAGTGCAGCCCGAGAAACATTGTTTGGATTGCGAATCAAGTTTCCTTGCCGGCGAGATATGACGACGCTATTCAAGTTGGATGCCAAGTCTGTGATCACATCCTCCTCCTCCTCCTCCTCCAACTCGAGCAAAACGGTGTTTGTTAGTGACGACATGGCTGATCAGATCCCCAGTTCCAGATCGCAGCAAGCCAAAAAAAAAAATGAGCAGCTTTCCACCCGATATCGCAGGTATATCAACACTGCCGCCTCTCATGAGAAAACTCTTTCTCACCCGATCTTAAACTCGAAGCGCTCAAGCACAAGCGATCGCGCCCAAAGCGCTAACACAACACACAAGCGAGCGATCGCGCCAACTTCTCATAAGAACTCATCTGCTTGTATCGACTGTGTGATTTTTTTCTGACAAGATCAGGTGTGTTCAGACCAAGAGTGGAAAGTAAAATACTTTTTCATTCATTTTTTTGTGATATGCGCGAGCGATGGGTCGGCGACCGGGGTGGCCAAAGTGAGTGAGAGGGCATGTCCAGGCTGTGCTGATGGCAGCGGGTTACGGACGATTCTGAAGGCGTGGGGAATGTGGCTATTTTTGACGGCTCGCGTGGCGTTATCGTGCTTCCCAGGGTCTTGCAGCGTTTGTTGACTGCGCTGTGGAAGGCGCAGCCGCTGGTGGACTGTCAGCAGCATGATGAACTTCGCCATGCCGTCAGGCAGATCATCGAAACTGTCATCACGGTGTGTAGACTGTCCGTGCCCGCACGTAAAACGGAGCAAAGGGGTGCCCGCACACCCAGCTCAACTCTTCTGCGTTGCCCTGCTGGCCTGCAGGAGGGCGAGGCGAGAGGCACCCAGTACCATGCTCTCATGTCGGCTCTGGAAAGAGTCCAGCAGCTCTTAGTGCAAGCGGTACGCTACCTTGAGCCGTTGTGTCATGGTCCTGCCTAGACGTGTCCCACTGTGCTTGGCTGCTCTCGGCTGACCCACTGCAATGAGGCTTTACGCAGCTGACTGGCGGGGCTACCCAAGCCCGCGCGAGCATCACCGGGGACCAGGTGCTGGCAAACCTTCCTGTTTTGGTAGGTGTCGCTTTGAAGACGCAGGACAGGAGTGGCAAGTGTTGACTAGATGTCATGTTCCATTGCTCGTCTTCATCTTCCTTCTTCCTTCCGCTGTGCGCAGGTGGCTCTGTCTGAGGAGCGCTTGCAGCAATTTGGCGCCTGGTATCAGGTCAGTTCTACCCATACGCTCACACGCGCCCACAGAATACCTTGTTCGTGCTGCATAGTCTACCGCTTGATCAAACTCCCTCCCCATAAGCTCATGTTTTTCTTGATCCATTTGCCCGAAATGAATGACTGTCCTCTGCCTCAGGAAGGCCATGTACGCAACCCTACTTGCCACCCAAATGCCCCCTTCCCCCGAAGGAAAAAAAAACTGCCCATGAGCAAAGAGCCTGCCCGCCGCATTTCACCGCGCTTGCTGCTTTCTTCTTTTTCTTTTTGACCTTTGCACGATATTCATATTCATAGAGCGCCCCGGCACCCTCCACTTTTCCCAAACCCAAACGGGTAAGCGACGCTGCGGCCGCGGGCATCGTGATATCAGCACAAGATACTCGTCCTTCGTGTGCCCTCGTCGTCCTCTGGACTCGGCTTGTCTTATCCTTTCGGCTTATTTTGAAAAAAAAAAAAAAAACTTGGCAGGGCCGACCACGAAAGACGTGCGCCGAGGCTACGTCCAGCCCTCTGGGATCCCCGTCAACCCCAGGTACTTCCGAAACAAGGCTGTGAGGTCTCAAAACGTCTCGAAGCCAGCTTGCCCATCGATGTGATGCATCGCCAATTTTTTTGTTCACAAAGCGTCTGGCATCTTCGGCTACAACTTAGAGCCAACGCCCAAACGCCCAAAGTCAGTGTCGGTCATGCAGACTCCCTTCACCCTGGCGGCAAAGGGCGCTCGGGCTATTCAAAAAAAGTCTCGAGCAAAGCAAGCCGCCTCGAGTGGCGGATCGGTCACAAGCCTCCAGGACCACGAGGGTGAGTGCGCTTGGTTTAACAACAGAATAAACCTCGAGCTGTCTCACTTCACAAGGCCATCTCCCTTGACCTTTTGGATCATCGTGTGCTCCGCTACGCAGAGGAGTCGGACGTTGTTGGTTTGGCCGAGATTGACGAGGAAGCAGAGGAGGCTCAGCTCATGAAAGACTACCACGCAAACACCGTTGTCATGTACCAAGTAGGTGTTGTTGCAATGTGGTCTGGAGGTAGGCCCGGTCTGTAGTCTCATGGTGAGCGGGCAACCCCTGGCGCCCCCCGCCCTCCTTAGGATCGCCACCAATTCAAGCCAGAACTGGTTTTGGCCCTTGCTGACCCTTGTGCGCGATCCTTTGGTCTAATGGGCGTGGATGCAAGCGGCATCACTATGCTATCTTATGCCTTGGAGGTCCGAAGAACACGAACCAACTTGTGTTCGAGATTTGGTTCAGACGAGAACCGCTCACGAGGTTCCTGCCTGGCTTGGTCTGCCGATAGTGGTTTCTTCGTCACACCTTGGACATTGTGAGCAAACTTTTGCGCAAAGACTACCAGGTGTGTCATGCAAAACTCGAATTGTGGACTGCCAAGCGTCAGCCTCACCATGCTTTCCGTGCCTGGGTGGGATGTCGCGCAGTACATTGCGTCCGACGCCCACGTGGAAGTGGAACCAAGCAGCGATGCCCTGCATGGCCTGGCTCTGTGGGCCAAAGCGAGCATACACAACAAGACGACACCAAAACCACCACCTGCCTTGTTGCCCGAGCCGGTGACCAGAGAGGGCCATAACGAGGAAATTTTGCCCGCCACACGGCGCACGCAGATTGTGTATGTTCTGCTGTTGGATGGTCGCTTGCAGGACTTTTTTGTTTCTTTTTTTTTCCGGAGCGGGAGGGGGAAGGGTAGCCTGTTATGCCATCGTCAGTTGGTGCATCACTCACCTTGTCCGCGCGCTTGGCAGGGTGGCTGACATTTTAGCCGCAGCGCGGCTCAGTCGCTTGTTTCCGCGGTACGGTATGATGTGGTTGACCCAGGAGGAAGACCTCTCAGACCACACCGCTTTCTGAATCTGGATCGCCCCTGCAGCAGGCGCCGCTTAGAATTGTTGGTCCGTGCCCTGCCTGACACGAGAGACTAGTCTAGACCGATTGATCGACTGTTTGAGGAAGTTTTCTCCCTAACACCCTGCGGCTGTGCCGCGCCAGAATTAAATTTATTGCTGACAAATATGGTTTTGTCACTCTTTTCGTCTTCTCGATCACCGTTCTAAACTCTCGATATTTTACAATCATTATATCCAGAAAAATACGGACCTGACTGTTCAATATTCGCGTCGTACAACTCGGTCTCCCTTTGGGGTTGTGCCTTGCCAACCAAAACTTTTGGCCGCTAGCAACGTCCAAACAACACAACACGTTCTCTCTCTCTCTCTCTCTCTCTCTCTCTCTCTCTCTCTGTGCTGAACACCTCCATCGCGGGATTGATCATGTGTATTTTTATTTTCAGCTTCATCGGTTTCACTGACTACCTCTCCCACCGCCACCGCCATCATGACTGACCGCAAGGCCGTGATTAAGAACGTTGACATGTCCGAGGACATGCAGCAGGATTGCATTGACTGCGCCATCGCTGCCCTCGAGAAGTACAACGTGGAGAAGGATATCGCTGCCTACATCAAGAAGGTGAGTTTTGCTCAAAAAAAGAAATTTGAGGCCTGCTCCAGTTCGGCAAGCCGAGCCACAGCCCCTTGATACGGTCTTGATGCTCAATGGCTAATTTTCTTCCTTCTGTGCTCTGTAGGAGTTTGACAAGAAGTACAACCCCACCTGGCATGTGATTGTCGGCCGCAACTTTGGCTCGTATGTGACCCACGAGACCAAGGGTTTCATCTACTTCTACCTGGGCCAGGTCGCCATCCTCTGCTTCAAGTCGGGTTAATGCCCTCTCTGAAGACCTCGACTCGATAAGCGAACAGCGTCCAACTTGGACCAAAAAAACGGAAAAACAAGAATAAAATAGAACACAAAGAGAGCCAGGAACGTCGATGTGGCGCTAGCTCTGCTTGAGCCAGTCGTACCAGTGGCCGTGCCATTGATCCATCACGTTTGGGCTCCCCCAGCTCTCCCTTGCCATCCTCCGAATTGGATTTGATTAGAGGGGCCTTGTGTCACGTGTTTGTTACTCTCTCCTAGCAATCGATCTTGCAGGCTCACTCACTCGCCTCAGCGATATCAGATATCACATCATCAACAACAACACAAACGCACACACTGTAGCAAAGCCAACAAGCGCCAGGGGAGGATGACATTGTAGTCAAGTCTACAGGCATAAATTCATCAGAATCTGGGGTTGGATACCGTGATCGGCACTTGTCAACAAGCTCTCCATCATTTGGAGCGAGCACACACAGACACACACATACACACAAAGAATAGCAAGCGCAGGTGCGGGAAGCCCAACAAAACAGCCGTATGCATGCACAAGGACCAGCCTAGAGCCCTGCCCCGAACAGCAACGCAGGGAAGGACAAACCAAAACACAAAACAACAGCAAGAACGCGGGCACATCCGGCGTTGTCACCCGTCCAAATTCAAATGTGTATAGCACACAGGGTCCTCGGGACAGGCACACTCAACACCCAATCTCGGATTATAAAGCACCTGCGCGCGCACACACATACACACATGGGGCACACCGGGCGGGCCTAATCAAGTCAGAGGCGAAGAAACTGGCCAAGGCCGTTTACTTGGCCTGGTTTCCACTCTGGTAAAACTCGCTGACGACCTTCCAGCCGCTGGGGCACATGAAGCCGCTCGGGGGATCCTCACCCTCGCGGGCAAACTTGCGCATCTTGCTACCGGAGATGAAGAGGAAATCGTCCTTCTTGCTTGGGTCGAAAAAGTCCATGGCGCCCTTCTTGGTGTTGTAAGCGGCCACGCGGAAGGGGATGATTTCCAGACCCTCAAGGCCCGGCGCCAGCTGGAGGACCTCACGGCCGTGATCAGCGTGGTACAGGTTGACATCCTTGTTGACGGGGTGGGACATGCCGGCAGGATCGCGGCCAACAATGTAAAACTTGGCGCCGCAGTTCTTGCGGGCCTTGGCATGCCACTGGACCTCGGTGGGGCCAGCGTACATCATGGGGCTGGGGAAGATGGCCACAACGGTGCTCTTGGGGTCCAGGACACCCTCAGCCAGGACGCACTCGTGTTGCTTCATGCGGATTTCCAGAGGCACGTCATCGGGCTTGGTCCAGCCGCCAAGAGGATGAAGGAGAAGGACGGGGTTGCGGTAGCCCTTCTCGATCAGACGCTCACGGGTATCGGTCATGAGCAGGGCATGGCCATTGTGCACGGGGTTGCGGAGCTGGAAAGCGTAGACGGCATCGGCATTGCGCTTGGCAAACTCGGCGCGCAGCTGGCTCGGGGTGAGGCGGTACTGGTCCAGACCATCGTTCCACTTGATGGGCTCCAGCACCTCGAGCTCACCACCGACGAGCCAGTCACCGTAGGCGTCAATCATGGCAATGTAGGGGTGGCCGGCATCGTAGACACCAAACTGACGGCAGCAGCGTTCCTCCTTGCGGGCCTCGAAAAACTCGGGCTTGCGCATGATGGCGACGGCCTTGCCCTCGTACTGAAGCGTGATGGCGGGCGCATTGAACATGGCGTCCTTCTGCTCGGTGGTGGCCGGGCACACAATGGGGACCGACTGGTTCACGACAGAGCCATCAGCTTGCTTGATGGCGTTGAAGTGGAGTGTTTGCAGGAACTCGCGTTCGCGCATAAAGCCGCGAAGCGGTGCGGCCCAGCCCTCGGCCAGGACCTGAACCCACTGCATGGTGAGCTTGTCCACGTCAAGCTTGGGAAGACCCTCAGCCTCAGCCTTCTTGGCCTCGACGGCCTCGGCGGGCACAAAGAGCTCCTCGGGCACAACGTCGCTGGAGGGGATGATGCCATTCTCCTCGAGGTAGTTGAGAACGAGGCGAACGTTCTCCTTGACAGTCTCACCGTTGGCACCGGCAACGATATCCGGGTTGACCGGGGGCTCGTACACACCGTCGATGCCGGTGAAGCCCTTGATGAGGCCGGCACGAGCCTTTTGGTACAGACCCTTGGGGTCACGGGCTTCGCAGACCTGAAGGGGAGTGGCGACGTAGCACTCGATAAACTTGAGACCGCTGTTCTCGTGGAGCTCGCGGCAGCGATCACGGTCTGAGCGGAAGGGGGAGATGAAAGAGGCCAGGGCGACGATGCCACCATCAGCAAAGAGCTTGGCCACCTCGCCGACGCGACGAATGTTCTCCATGCGATCCTCGGGGCTAAAGCCGAGGTTCTTGTTCAGGCCGGTGCGCATGTTGTCACCGTCCAGACCATAGCAGGGCACGCCACGCGAGCACAGCTCAGCCTCGAGGGCAAAGCTCAGGGTGGTCTTGCCAGCGCCGCTCAGGCCTAGCACAGGACAAACAAAGGCAGGCAGGCAGGCGTGAGGAATTGAAAGGCGTAAAAAAATAAAACAGCCACTTGAAACTTGACAGTGGCACATGTCAGGTTTGGGCAAGTAAACACAACAGTGGAAAGAAAGGAAGGCAACGAGCTTGGCATGCAAAAAAAAGGTTGGAGGGGGCGCGTACCGGTGAACCAGATGGTGCAGCCGCGGAACTTGGAGTCGACACCAAGCATCTCAGCGCGCTTGGAGCGGGTGACATTGTGCTTGACAGCAGTGATGTTGGTGGCCTTCACGTCAGTCATGGTGTCGGTCGTTCCAGCTGTCAATGCATCACAGGTAGGCCATGACAAAGTGAGCTCGTGACCAATGCTTAGTTGAACAAGTAATCAAGGAAGGCGACACAGAAGCCACTGGGCTGGAGCCAGTGATCAGTTCAAGTGTGTGCACGCTTGGCTGTGTAATTCAAAAAGAAGACAAATTCGAAGGTGCGCACACGTCCTGGATCTCACGACATGGGCATCAACAAAAAAAGAAAAGAGAAAAAAAAACAGCAGACGAAGCGAACGGTCAAGGCGATGGGGATGGGGCCACTGGCCAGGAAAGGCATGATGGGTTGCATTGCCACCGACAATCTCGCTTGTGCGCACGTTGATTGATGATAAGTGTGTGGATGGAGGAGGATAGATCGGGAATGGATACCGCAAGGATCGACATGCCAAAGCGAGTCATATCCCGGGGATAACGACAACATGCAGCAGGGACAGCACGCGCCATTGCCAACATGGGAGCATGACCAAATGTATCATGTGCACGCAGTGCACTGCCACCTGAATTTTGTGGCACGAGGCACCCAATCGAGCGAATCACACCACCAACGTGTAGCCATCTCAACCCACACTGACAGGCAGTGGTCGCCACCGATCTGAACGCGCACGCGCACACAGAAGAGAGGGAGCGAGAAGAAACGAAGCCAGTGCGCCCAAGACCGAGGCAAGCCCTTCAAGCACAGAGAGAGAGAGAGAGAGAGAGAGCTAACCAGCAGGACGAGGCAGCCGCAGCTAAAGGTGTAAAGAGTGTGCACACACTTACCCCAAATCAAAGAGTGGCGAGTGGAGAGAAAAATACAACAAAAGAATCCACTTTTGAACAATGGCAGTGCGAACAAAACACAGAGAGAGAGAGAGGTTCAGTGGGTCTCAATCACGTTCACTCTGTTCTTTTGTTGTAGGGGGCGAGAAGCTTGTGGATGTGTGTGAACGTGGCAGGGCGTTGTGTTATGCGTTGTCGCTGGTCGGCCTTACACGTTGTGCGGACAGACACACAAGCTGCGTGTACGCTTCTCGTTTACGTTACGCCAATTCGTCAGTCACGTGGTAACGTCCCACGGCTTATGGAAGGAGGATCAAAAAAGGCCAAGGGGGAACAATGCAGTAATGCAGTCAGTCATGCTGTTGGAGCGGTTGCGGGGTGATCCTTTCATTCCACCCCTTGCAGCTGAGTCACTGTTGCTTTGCGACCCTCATAAAGGGGTTGTCTTTTGTTGTGTGTGCTCATCCAGAATCATCCAACGTTTGGTGAATCGGCTCGTATATGTGATCAATGTCACGCTTTGCAAATAGTGACGTCAAAGTGTACTCGATATCAGGCTTGATGAATTGGTCGAAGAAAATATTGGATAAAACAGCTGTTGACAACAAGGCACCCAAAACCGCCCAGCGTCGAGCGCGCTTGCTGTCCGTGTGGCTTGAGCGCGGGCAGATACGAGAAAGACGTGAGCCGCAAAGACGTTCACGAGCCCCACCCGACACGAAAGAGAGAGTAAGCTGCAAAGCAAGAAAAAAAAAAAAGGGCCCAAAGACTCGGGCGAGGGAGCTGAGAACAACCTCACAACCACGTTCACTTGAAGCCGATGGCGAGGTTGGCAGCTTGGTCCCGATCGACGCCCAGAAGTTGCGGATCGAAGCGACGGCGAGCATCGCGCTCCGCAATTCGCTCAATGGGGGTCCAGGAGTGGTCGGGCTCCAAGCGATACGAGCCCAAGTGCTCATCCTGCAGCCGGTCGCCCCACTCCTGGGGTGAGAGCATGGAAAAGTACTTCTCCCCGTCCAAGTCCGGGTTGGTACGCCGATACAAGTGATAGATTCGGTTTGGGATGCGCTTGAAGTTGCAGCGCGCATGCGCGAGGGACACGTCCTTTTTGGCCTCCTCCAGTACCTGGCGGGCCTGTTGCTGCAAAAACTGGATCTGTTGCGTAATTAGCTCCAACTTTGAGCCAACGGTTGCTCGTGTGTAGTCGTCAGCCTGTTGCACAACCTGCGCCAGGGCCACCAAGTCATTGGGATCATGCATTCGGTGAACAGCCCGCGCAGATGCCAGCTGGTCCGCCGTCCTGGGGTCAATTGGCACCAGCAGACTCGACTTTTGCTCCTCCGCAATCGTCACCAGCTCCTGAGAACCGGTCTGGGGCGTCTCCGACGCCATGCTTCTGACTAATGGTGATGCACCAAAGTTCGCTGTGTGCCACACCGCCACGAAAAGCACAGGGGTCGCAGTCAGCTCAAGCTGTGCTCAGCACTGTTGAAAAAAGAAAAAAAAAACTAGAGCGGTGCAATGATAACAGCCGCCACCGCAGTAAAATACAGACGAGCTGGTTTTGTGCGTGCAATGTCAGGTGGGGATGAAGAAGGCACACCGGACCGCGTGGATGGCCCAAATCCTCTCTGCACAGGGGCACAAGGGGTGGGACGCAAGACTCGCTCCCTTCTATCTCGCTTTACTTCGTGGAAGAGGAATAGGGTCTCCCCTCCTTCCCAACGTTCGCGAACTTGTTCATGTTCGGAGCCCTTGAGAGGCGCGCCACGAGGTGTGTTGTTTAGTTGACAACTCAAAAGCGGTTTGCAGCGCAGTGCCCGAACAGGAGGAGACCACTGTGCCATCCCACAAGCCCTAGGGCAGCCTGTCGTACCTTGTCCCGCCGCGTCGTGCCTCGTGTGCCAGGTATCCCAGCCGCTTCGTGTCCCTCAGTTCGATGCTTCGTGAGTCGGAAAGAAAAAAAAAAAAAACTGTCCGTTTCTATTTTGTCTGACAACCCGACAAATGTCAGCATTGTTGATGGACGCACTCTGTATACTTTTGTATCATTCAAGATAGAAAAGCTTCATCCGTTATTATTCATAAATGCACACAACTAGCCCTTTGTACACTCAACTTCTTTCACATCAAACAATTCAAGGCACACACTATGGAGCGTCTATGTTGTATGGCCTTGTTTGTCTTACAATCTCCGCAGTACTGGTCGTGCTTTCCGACGACATTGATCAAGTTGATGAAGCTTAGAGCACTGTTGTAAAGGGGGAATACAGGCATCCGAAGCGCCAGTTGTTGCATGCACGGCGGCGGTTCGTGTCGACGTTGATCATTCACTGCTTCTGCGCGGCGGACAGGTAAAGGGCGTCCGTCGTCGACTTGCTGCATCAAACGCAGAGGCATCAGGACCCAGCCCACACGCCCTGTCAACGCCAGCCAGTGATCAAGCCATTGCCGACCTCCAGGCGCTGCCGCAGTCCAATACCTCCTCCTCCATTGAGAGAAAAATCTTTTACTTTTTGCAGTTGCGCGTCGTTTTACGCCCCTCGCTCCCCCGGCCCCTGCCTCGTCCCTTGGTTCGGCCTTGACTGGCCCTTCTTCCGCCCAGCGTGGACCCTTGACGCCACATCAAAGCAAACATGGCCTTGGCCACAGCCGCGGAGGCGCGGACGCGCGACGATCTACAGCGCCTGCAACAAACGTGGAAGACTGGCTTGCAGGACGCCCAGCGCGAAACCCAGGAAGCCCGGGACCAAGCTCGCCAACTCCAAGTGGCCCTGGAGCAAGAACGACAGCACGGCATCAAGCTGCAACAGCAACTCGACCAAGCACAGGTCTCCGCCACCCGTCAGCAAAGCCGTGCCCGTATCGAACTTGAGCAGCAGCTCGTTGATCTGGAGCAACGCTGCCGCGATCTCACCTTGGATCGCGATGTGTGGCGGGACAAAGCCCAAAGCCTAGAACGCGAGCTTCATGCCCAGTTGGCTCAACGCGCCTCCCGCCGAGACGCCGCCGAAGCCAACGATGCCACACGCTCATCAACGACAAACACCCAGGTTGGAGCAGAGGCTGAAACGTCGCACGATGTGCTCCGCCAACGCATCAAGCACCTGGAAAGCTCAGCCCGCACTCTGGCCAGCCGCGTGGGTCAGCTCGAAGCTGAAAAGGACAATGCCGTGCGCGAGCGTAATCACCTCCTTGATGAGGCACATGAGGTCAATGCCTACCTTGAACGCCTCAAGGCCGACCTGGCTCACGCCCAAGCCTCGTCGAGCACCCATCGCACCGATGGCCACCCTACCCAAAGCTCGTACCCTCATGCCTCTCTTCTGAACCAGTTTGGGGCCGACGCCGACACCCGTGCACAGATATCAATGCTCGAGTCTAGCCTTCAAAAGGCGCTCGACCAGCGCGACCGCGCGCGACAGGACGTGAGCTCACTACAGCATGACCTGACAGCATTACGCCACGCCCACGAACGCCTCCGAGGCAAGGCTGCCGATGACATTCAGAGCGCTCGCCAGCAAGCCTCTTCCTCAACCCGCCAGTTGGAAAGGCGCCTTACTCGCTTACAGGGGACCGGTGAGACCCAGGCTGCCGCACTTGACGCCTTGCAGGGTGAAAACCGCCGCCTTCAATCCCAGCTCCAAACCCTGAGTACGACAAACGCCCAACAGAGCGCCAAGGGGCCGACGGCTCTGATCACCAACCATGACGCTGCCCTCTCCGTCCTTTTTATGCTCGGCAAGGACCGGCATCTGGATGCGCTTGAAGACGCCATCGATGCCGCCACCCAGCTGTTGGACCAGATTGCGGCCTATTGCCAGCAACCCCGTGCCCGCCCCAACCAGATATATGACGCCGTCACCCTGCTTCTAGGGCAACTTGAGGCCCTTCACGCTCTGCCTGAGGATTGGTCTGAACACCGCACGGAACTGGGCCTGCGCTTTTATGCCGATGACCAAGCCCGACAGACATCGTGGCTTCACCCGGTCCATAGCGCAGAGGAAGCCAACCATCTCCTCGGCAGCGACCCCTTTTATCCGTACAATCTGGACGCTGACGCAGGCTCACCCGGCTGGTCTGGCGCCCCCAGTACGCGGAGTGCCGCTCGTACCCCTTTCCACACCGCCACCGCGCCCTCGCTAGCGTCTGGGCACACTGATCACCCAGCATCTATTCGCGGCCCCTTGTACTCGTACGCTCCGCCGAGCACGCGCAGCCGTACTCGACCCGGCCCTGCACGAGCTAGTACACGCTATGCCTTCACCGTTAGATCCGCCGAACCCCTCTACGATCGCGCACGTCCCGAAACGACCTCACTGCAAAGCCGTGAGCCCGATTATGCCCCCCACACTGGCGCCAATCCGTATCCCACCTTCTCCCGTGATGGCGGCTCAAGCCTCTACGACCGCGCTGCTCCCACGGCCATCACGCGCAATGGGCGTGCCTCGACTTTGCGCAAGCTCGATGCAGCCAAGCGGCGTCGCAATAGGTATCTTCATGAGCAGGCAGAATAACTAGACGCTTGATATCGAATGCTCGACTCTTTGACCTCGAATGCCCTGCCCTGCTGGCGTCGAGCACTGTGGCCTGCATTGCCGCTATTTTGCTACAATGGTCAGGTGCTGCGTTGAGATATCCACACGAATTATATAAGTGACCCTCGGACGTGCCGTCTCCCCTCACCCGCGACCCCTCTACACACACACACACACACACACACACACACACACACACCAGCAGCAGCAGTAGCATAGTATCGAGGCAGGGTCAGAATATTCACTGTCATTTTCATGTGGATTGTGTGCGGTATAGCCCATAAATCTGGACATGTGTACACACAGAGAGAAGAAGCTTCTAGCCAACCAAAAAAAAAGGAAGGCGCTCGCTTCAGGCGACACACGGGTGCGCTTTTTGCTCAAGCTAGGAGATGGTACAACGACCTTGATCCCGCGTTGCCCTGTGGCATGCCAAACACGTGAGACCACGACGGGGGGGCCATCAGTCCAAAAGTCGAAGCACCATGTGAAGCAGGTGCAACTGACCGGCGGTCCTTCTCCGGATCAAACGGTGAAAACTTGACATCTTCGTTGCCTTTTTTCGCGGTACTTGAAGCCCCCGTCTATGAGTAAGATCAAATGCGTACATTTACCCATCGGTATGAGAAAATAAATCCAGGAAAGAGGCACACACGCAACGTTCCAGGCTGAGGCTTCAATGGCTCAAAAACTCTTTGACATGCCTCGACGGCTGTGTAAGGAACCTTTGTGGCATCCCACGTGGTGGCCTGCCAAGTTTCAAGTGGTACGGGCAGCTCCAATGCCGTAGGCTGAAGAGAAGCAGAACGAGATCATCGACCTTATGAGACGCTTGCGGGCCATCACTGAGGATGGAGACGATACCTTACCTCGGTCAAGCATTTGGCATCTGGGGTTGTGGGAGGAGCAGCCGGTACTTTGTGAAAGTAGATGAAGCCATTTTCACGATGGGCTTTGTCATGAGCCTCCTTGAGCGTCCTCTCTATGCGGTACAAACAAGATGCAAGGGCTAGATGAGATTTCAAGATGGAGAGAGTAGACTCACAACCCACCTAACCAATCCCCCCAAATCAGCAACAGATTGAAGGGAGGATAACTTGAACAGACCGAGTGTGGTGAAGATGACGTGACGTGAGGGCTCCATAACTTGTGCAGAGTGTACGCTGCTGCCAAAGGCTGTGGCTGCTCTGGAAAAGGCCTTGGCATGGGTCTTGGCCTCCTCGATGGCTGATAGCCAAAAAGACAGATTATACCATTGTCAGTGTCAGTCAAAAAGGGGGATTGGAAGGACAGTGCACTGTCCAAGCCGGCCTAAAACCGTACCTGCGGCGGCGCCTTGATAGCAACCGAGAGCATCACCACATTTCTCCTCTTGAAAATAGGCCAAACCAGCATAGCAATACATCTAAGGCCAGCATAGGTGAGCGAGTGATCAAGAGTGGCAAGGAGACCTGGCAAATGGACGGCGGTGGCGGTCAAAACAAACATAAGCGCGATAAAAGGCGGCCTTGAAGTTGCAATACGCGCGCAGGCGCTTGGCAACGATGTTGTCCATGCTGGTCAGCGCATCAGCGGCATTTTGAAACTTTTCCGACAAATCTCGAGCGATCGAAGACAAGAGGCCAGGCTTGTGCCCCAACTGACGACCACGGTCCAACGTGACTACGCACACACGCGCGCATGAGTGTTTGGGTGTGCAAAGGCATCACACAATACACCCAAAGGGGCAAAAGCATGAGCGAAACTCGCTCAAAGGAGAAAGAGTTGTCGTTGAAAGCCAAGCCGCTCAACTAGGAACGCTGTTCTGTACCTTCCTGTGCTTCTGCGATGGCTTGTTGCAAGCGCACGTCCAGCATTCGCTCATCAAAATCTATCACACGCACGCGGGCGCACACACAGACAAGAAGAACCGCATTCATGCATCATGAGTATCATGGGAGAGCAGATATTGAACAACGCCCTGTATACAGGACCGGTCAATGCACACACGCGCGCAATACCGGATGGAGCTGGACCTACCCGTGTTGGGATTGTAGGCAATCTCTGAGCGGGTGCGCTGTAAAAAGTACTGAAAGACGCCAGCGGCTTCCTAGTGCAGCCAATGGAATTGGTTTTTCAATCACAATCAGCAAATTTGAGAATCAGCCGCTGAACTATCAGACCCAATTCTCACGCGAGTACGTGAACAACATGGCAACCAGGGGCCAGCCGCCCAGCTCACCTTGAGACTGTTGAAGATATCCTTGGCGGCATCGTTCCCTTCGACTGAGGTGTCGGCGTAGTCGATGATCCAGGCAGCATGCTTGGTCAACCAGATGGCGTAGTTGAGCGTCACTTGGTCGATTTCAAAGTCCACGTGCGTGTTGGCCTCCACCTGTCCCGAAACATTGTCGCTCCACTTGAAAAGAATTGCGCGAGAGAGAAGTCGATGTGCATGTTCACTGGGCACAGATCCGGTGCTTTCACCCACGCCCCCCTCTGGTGCAGCTAACCGCCAGCCAGACCGTTGTGAGATTCGGAGCGGGGGGAAAGGGACAGGCACGACCCTTTCACACGGTGCGATGTGAAAGACAAACCTGTTTGCTGTGGCTCAACCGCGCGCTTGAAGCCTAACACATTGGCCAGGTACTTTTTGTAGGCCGTGCGTACCTCATCGGGGCCGTTACGAAAATGATTCATGAGCTCAAGGAGCTCGCCCCGATCCTGGGTTAAATTCCTGATTCAAGCCCGCCCCAACACATGCCCAAAGCCGTGAGGATCAGGGAAACATAACAAGTGCCCACACACGACAAAGGCCTTCGGTGCTTGAGGGTACCTGAGCAAGTCACGGCTCTGGGCATTGGTGGCGGCCAGGGAAAGCGGACCGCTGCCGAAATTAATGGGTGCTGTGGCCTTGAGAGGCTCGCGGCACAACCAAGAGAGCGCCATGCCGCTCAAGAGACGACAACTTGATACTCGGCTGGGATGGCTGGTGCCCCCTGTGGTCTGTTGTCGTAGCTCTTCACTATCAACCTGTGCAGTGCGAACCGCAGATCAACTGGAGCTGATTGAGGTTGAAAAGAAAAAAGACAAGCAAGACAAGGCATGCGACGTGAGAATCGAGACGGCAAAAGCGTGCGCGCACAGGTAACCAGAGATGGTCCGTTGTTTTCAGCATGTCGCCGACAATGGCAGCGACGGGAGAGCCACGTCCCGAGCCCGGACCCTGTCCCTATCACCGCATATCATCTTTTGCCTTCCCCACTGCCCCGCTGCCACTACCGCTGCCACTGCCATCGCAGAAGCGGCATCGCCATCAGAGCTCCAAGCGACTTACCGGCCCCGCGTCCTCGTTTGTCAACTGCTGCCGACGAGTTGTCTCTCTGATCCAAGTGGTGAGAGTAATGGCAAATGACTTTTTCTGATGGCATGCCGTGCTCCATCTCTGCTCACATCCACACACGTATCTTCGGGCGAGATTGCCTGACCGCTGATTTGGCCAGAACACCTGTTGCAGATACCTGTCTTGAAAGTCAGAAACCGCAAACGTATCGTTTTGTCAGATTATATTGGAGATGGAGATGGCCAAAGTTGGCAGTTGTGCAGACCTGCACACTTGCGCAAGCGCGCAGTATCGGAATACGCGAAAGCGAATTCAAGGTCATGCTGGGTGCTGGTGAAAGACACACATGGCTCGTTTTGTGGCCGATCTGGGCAGTTTGTCGAGATGGTGTTGGTTTCTTCAGTTCCTGCTGTGGGTGTCTCACAAGCGCTGGAAATGTCGAAGTTGGCATTGAAGCAACCCGACCGCAGATCCTCAGAGCATGGAGGGGGGGTATGGTGTCGAGGCAACACACAGCCTCATTTTTCTTTCTTCATCTGCCCTCCGCCCTCTTCGTCCCCTACGCCCACAAGCACTCAGAGACCTCAAAGAATGGCCCTGCACTTTGGTGGCGAGTTCTTTTCCCCTGCAACGACCAGCCCCGCCATCATCAAGGTGCCAGACGCCTTTCATATTTCCGTCAACAGTGCCAAGCATGACACTTCAGCCCCTTTGTTGACGCAGGTGCGTGGCTGCACACCGGACATGACGTTTTGTCGATTGCAGATATAGCACAAACATGCTCGCGTCCTCATCCGTGCGTTGGGCTTGGGGGTCTGCATGGCTGTCTAGTCGGACTCTTGCTTGCTCGACATTTTGGATACGGCTGGACAGGAGGAGTACAGTAGCATGCGCGACATGTACTGTCAGACTGGCGATGCTTTTGCCATAGGTCAGGACGACCCCCATGCACTCGGATGCCCAAGTTCAAGTCTCATAGCTTGCCTGCTCACCGCCCACCGTCCCCTCACCTGTCCTGATGATCGGGGTGCGTCACCTGTGCTGCGGCAGTGTTCTCCGTGACCTCCCGTGCCTCCTTCGATGAGGCGCGCCTGATGAAGGATTGGGTCTTGCGAGTGCGCGACGTTGACACTACAGATCAAGTGGCGCTGGTGCGTGCCCACAACACCCGCAAGCTACGTTGGCACACGTGTACCTCACCCACCTTCTGTTCCCTTCCTGCGGCCCGCAGATTTTAATTGGCAACAAAAGCGACCTGAACGTTGCCCGTGAAGTCAGCTCCACTGAAGGCCAGCGCCTAGCTGATGAGTGGCATTGCACATATATTGAGACTTCGGCCAAGACAGGCACGTTCTTCTTCCCTCTTTGGCCCACTCCCGCACGGCAACCCAAGCCCTTTCACCTCTCTCTGACCAAACGACGGCCGCTTGAGCAGGTTTCAATGTGAATCGAGCCTTTGAGGAGCTGGTTCTCAGCTTTGCCCGCCTCAACCCGCGCATGACTCAGCTCAAGAGTGCGTTTCACACGAACAAATCTCATGTATTGCTGTGCACTCGTCTTGGCCTGCCTCACTTTGTGCACATTCCCGTCCTGCTTGTGCCTGCACTCTTAGCCGTGGTCATGGGCAGTGGTGGCGTAGGAAAATCGGCCCTCACGGTCTGTCATTGCTCCCCGAGCAGCAAATGGTTCTCGCCACATTTGTTTTTCCTGGATGCTCTCAATCAGCTGACTTGCGTTCCACCCGCCTTGTCCCACAGGTGCAATACATTCAGCACGTCTTTGTGGAGTGCTATGATCCCACCATTGAGGACTCGTATCGCGCCCAGCGCCAGATTCCCGGGCTTGCTGCAGTCCGCCAGGCCTTTCGACACAAAAAGGCTGGCCAGACCAAAAGCAAAAACGGCTGCTTCAATTGGAGCATCCTGGGGCGCCGCCGAAGCAAAGAGCAAAACCAGGGCAGCAACGGAAATGCCTCTCCCAAGACAGAGCCCATCGCAACCAAGCTTGTGGCCAACCCGCCCTTGAACACGATGCTGGTGCGTCACCGGCACGATGCAGGGTTGGAAGGCCAAACGGGAGGGAGACGCATGGTATCTATCCTCACCAAGTGTCTTTTTTTGCCCGCTGTGCGTCAGGTGTCCCTCGGCGCCATTACCCAGGGCTTTGAGCCCGTTGATACAATGCCTTTTCAATGCAAGGCGTGCTCTGCGTATATGGTCGACGCCTGCGTAGATGAGGCGCGAGACAAGAACAACGCCGAAATGCTGCGCTGCCGCATATGCCAAAAGTGGGTGGCCTTGCCTGCTACCACACTGTCACACTGCCTTGCCCATTTCCAACTTGGCTCTCCTCACCGTTCTGCGCCTCGCTGAATGCAGCCTCAGCGACGTACCTGCCTCGTACGCGGTCCTTGCCCGAGAAGCAGTGGATCTGGTGCTCGATGACCCCTCAAGCAACACAGATGCAGCTACACAGAAGCCAACGGACAAGTCTGAGATCGTTGCCCACAAAGACAACAGGCTCATGGTGCTGGCCATGGACATTTCTGGGAGCATGGACGTGGAGGTCACGGTAGCCAGTTTGCAAGGTATGGCTGTGCACCTCCATCTTGACACACCCTGCACACCGAAGAAGTTGCCAAGGCCTTAACTTCACGCCTCACATTGCCCGTGTGCAACTCGACCCGTCCGGTATACACCAACGCAGCCGAATGGGCCGCCATGCGCGACAACGGTCGACGTCGGCACCTGACACGCTTGGACTGCATGAAGGAAGCCATGTGCCGGCGCCTGGACTATCTGGCCGCGCAGTACCCCGAGCGGCGCATGATTTTGGTTACGTTTGAAAACGACGTGCAGGTCTATGGCACCCCCGAGGAGGCTCCGCTGATCATCGGTGCGTTGTTCTTGCACAGGGTTCCTTTGAAGGAAAACCGGACGAGCCATATGATCTCACAAGCCCTTGGGTGCAGAGTCGGGGGATGACATGCTTCACTTGCAAGCCACGGCTTGCCTTCAAGCTCAAAAAGCCGGATGGCAATTGCCGACTATCGGTCAGAGCCTCGAGGCCTGGAAGCTCAAGGTGGGTGCGCGCCTCGCCCGCGTTCGAGAACACATCTGCTGCCTTGTTTATCCAAGCTCACCTGCCTCGGGTTTATCTATGGGCACAGATTCAAAATCTGGCAACCAAGGGCTCCACTGCCTTGGGTCCCGCGCTGTGCGTATCAGTGGGCCTGGTTGAGGCGTTGGCGGGCGCTGGTGTTAGCGAAATCATTCTCTGCACCGATGGCCAGGTGAGAGCCTTGCCTCGAACGTCGCCGCCACCATCAAACACTTATGCTAGGCACTGTGTAGTTTGAACTCGACACAAGACCCTTATCTCACCGCGCTTGGTCGGAAACGACAACACTGCTCTCGTAGCCGAATCGCGGCGTGGGCCGACTTGACTACCGTACAAAAAGCTCGACATTTTACGAGGCCATTGGTGAACAAGCTCGTAGCCACAGCAGCTCCATCTCAGTCATTGGCACGACAGGCGTGAGCTGTGAGCTGGGGATTGTCGGTGCTTGCGCTGAGGCATCAGGCGGCAGCATAACCACGCTTGACCCCCTTGAGCTGGTCCGCTACATGCGCGAGGTACGTATGTTGACCGTCAGAGTTTGCCATCGTCAGTCCTTTGCGCGCGACGGCCGCGATTCGGCTCATGCTGGCGGGCGACTGCCGACTGTGTATAGCTCGTACAAAATGCTGCGGTGGCCTCTGATGTCAAAGTGCGCGTTTGTCTGCCCTCGACGGTCCAGCTGGAAGTGGACCATCGCCTCCTGCCCACGGTCAGTTCATGCATGAATCTGATGGCTGGCCCGACCAAGCCACGCGCACGAGTGTGCCATAGGAGCTCAATCGGGTTATTGCATGTCGAATAGACCTCCGGTGGCACGAGTATCGATGTTGGCAACGTGTACCGAAATGCTGACATGGGGTTTGCCCTCGGTGGATCGTTTGAGAAAATGCCACCAGGCAGTGCGGTACAAGTGCAGATTGCATTTACCGACCTGGAAGGGCGGCGGTGCCTCAAAGTGCTGACGCGGCGTCTGCCTCGCTTGGCCACAACGGCCCGGGAGATGGGAGAGCACCTGGACCTTGCCGTGCAAGCCACTGTGGGCGTGCAGCGGGCTGCACGCCTGGGACTAGCCGGGCATGGGCCGAGTGGCTACGAGCTCTTGATCGGCCTCAAGCACGTGTTGGAGACTAGCAAAGAAGGCAACAAGATGGATGAGGAGGTCTACTCGTTTGTAGCCGAGTCCCAATCCCTGGCTCAGCAACTGCATCGGCTCCAGCCCGGTCAAGTCCAGCTGTCTGATGATGCTGTTCGCGTGAGTCGATCGCAGCAAGGACTCGGGCTGACATGCATGGCTTTCATGCAGGGTTGGTCTATTGGTGGGTACTTGCTCACTGAATATGAATTGCGTTGTGACCGGTGCTATAGGAGCTGCGACACATGAAATCGGCGCCGTTGGCGCAATTTGTGTCTGCAGAGCGCAAGGTAGACCAAACCAAGGCGCGCCAGACGACGCAGGAAGTGGCCAGCAAGTACTACAATTACCGTTTCTGAGGACCCATCTGCCTTTGCATGTCATGTGAATGTGCGGGTAAACAAGCCCTGTGATAAATAACACCATCGATCCTTTTTCCCACATGTCTGTTTGTCTGTGTGTCTGTGTATGTGTGCGTCTGTCTGTGTGTCAGTGTCATTTGCTCGAGTGAGTGTGGGGACCAATTGAGTAAGCGTGAAGCCGTCACGCTGTGATCATACAAATCCAGTTTCATAGTCGATTAAGAAATACGGCGCAACCTGCCAGGGATTGTGTCGCGTGCTCCAGGTCGAACACGGCTGCGACCACTGCAAGCAGTACTGTTCGCGGGTCAATCCAGCCACGGGGCGCCTCGAAGACAAGTCCGGATGGCGTGTGGGGGAGGAGGCAGTTGCATCACCAAACTGGCCGCCAGCCGGGTGCCGGTCAACCATGCACATACGATAGGCATAAAGGGGTGGGGTGGAGGAGCGTCTACATTTTGGCTTCAGCAGGGCGTCCGTAGCGATCCATGAACTTGAGATGAAAGTCGGCAAAGAGCTGGAGGATGCTCTCAAACTGCTCCTCGGGTGGGAGGATGGTGGTGCGAAAATGGAAGGTGCCATCGCGCTGGCCAAAGCCTGAGCCTGGCACGGCACAGATGCCGGTTTCATCCAGAAGCTCCATACAGTACAGCACGTCAGCGGCAACGCCACGCTTTTCAGCCTCAGCGCAGGCGCGCTTGGACAGCTGAATCTGGGGGAAGGCGTAGAGGGCGCCCTCAACGTTGCGGCAAGAGATGAAGGGAAGGCGATTAAAGGCCTCGGTAACCATGGCCGCACGGCGTTTGAGGCTTTGGAAGATGGCGTCGCATTCGGTGGTGAAAGTGGGGTAGGAGGCATCACCGGGGCGGGGTGGGCTACACATGAGGCCCACCATGAGCTGGCCATCGACGTTGGAGCTGAGATTGATGGAAAAGAGCTTGTAGAGCTGTTCACGGGCGGAAGGGTGAATGCCCAAGAGCTCAACGTAGCCGCCGCGGCGGCCGCACTCGCCAAAGACGCCCTTGCTGACGGTGTGGAAGGAGAAGCACTCAATGCCTTGGGCGTCCGCGCCCAGCTCCTTGATGACCTTGCGGAAGGAGATGAAGGGGCGGTCGCCATAAATGTTGGTCTGGTAGACCTCGTCGGCGAAGAGAACCACACGCTGCTTGATGCACCAGCGGACGACGGCCTCCATGTTGTCGCGGGGCAGGACTTGACCAGTGGGGTTACCAGGGTTGATGATGACCATACCGCGGATGGTGAGGCCACGTCGCTTGGCGTCGTCGATGGCCTGTTGAAGCGAGTTCATGTCCAGAGCCCAGTTGTTGTCCTCGTCGAGCTCGTAGCCCAGAACCGTGCCACCAAGGGCAACACAAGCGGCCGAGTAGAGAGGATATTGGGGGATGGGGAGCAAGACGGCGTCCTGCTTGTCGCGAATGAGCATCTTGAGGCAATTTTGGATGGCAGGTGAGGCGCCGTCGGAAAGGAAGATGTCGTCCGGGGAGGCAGGGTGGCCATCGCGAGCAGAGATAAAGTCTGCGACCTCTTTGCGGATAGCAGGGTTGCCTCGCGAGTCTTGATAGGCGCCGGTGCCACCCGGGAAAGCCTCGAGGTATGTGCGGGCGCGAGCGATGACATCGGCAGGAAAGAGGTCACCAACGTTGGGGGCGTCCAAGAGAGCTGGGTAATTCATGAGGGCCAGGACTTGGCGGGGAAAGGTGATGGCAGGTTGGCCCAGGCTGTGGGGATTACCCACATTAGTCAGAATGACCTTTTTCCCCTCGGCCTTGCGTTGCATGGCCATCTCATAGATTTTGCCGCGCACGGCGTACGTGGCAGCCAGTACGTTGGCATTGATGCGGCCGTCTGCGTGCAGGACAGGACTTTGCGCCATGTTGATGTTGATGTCAAGTCAGAGGTGAATCACGAAGCAAAAAAAAAATAAGCAGAAACACCAGGCAACAACAGTGTGTATGTGGTGCAATCAGCCTTCTCAACCACGAGCCGGAGAGTGACGGGATAGCAAGCCAAGAGCACAGAGGCAGGCAGGCAGGCACAGAGGCAGGCACAGAGGCAGACTTGGAGCTGAGTGTTCGGGTCAGTGGCGCTGCAAATGCAATGTCGACAAAAGCCCAGTGGAAATAAAATACAAACCTTTCATGGCCTTCACTCACTCTTTCTCTCTCTCTCTCTTTCGCTTTCTTTGGTTGGTTGAAGAAGAGTGGTGTAGATGGGGAATAGAGTAGAGTTTGTGTTGTTCTGTACGCAAAAGCAAGCCAGGTACTTGTAGAGATACTACAGGAAGATGCAGATCAACGTGCTGTGAAAGCAGAAAACGAAGGAAGGGAATTCTGTGTGTGCCGACCCCGACTCTTTCACTGACTTCGCTTTCTTTTCATTGTCACAAATTTCGCTGGCTATGTATTTTCACTGTTTTCGCGGTAAAACTGCGGACAAGGCGGCGTCAGAAGACGCTGATGAGCGGAGAGGGCTCGAGCGAAGCCTTGCGGCCATCGCCTGCTTGGCAGGCTTGCCTCAGCCGCGCGGTCAGGGAGCAAGCAGGCAGTGCCTGGTAGGCTGGGCGGAGAGCTCCGAGGCAAAAGAGTCCTACAACAGCCCCCTTGAAATCCCACGGTATGTGCCATGGCGGCATGTCACATAGCCGCGGCATGAGCAGAAGATGCAACACTCAAGATCGGCGTGACAGGGTGATCACCCCATCACCTCAGACGCGCGTCTGCACGCTGTAGGCGGATGCTCGTGGCAGCGCAGCGCCTTGACACTTGGGTGTAGGCAGGTGACGCATGCCAACGCGCCTTCCCACGACATAGACACGCACGAAGGTCGCTGACGCGGTTGGTTGGTGACTGCGTGTGCCTTTGCTCCTCCTTCGGACAGCTGTAACATCGAGCAATGAAGCGCCAAGCACGGTCAGCCGATCGCGTAGCGACATCATGAAGGTCGCAGCAGTGCGGTCTCTTCGACGCAGCCGCGTTCCTCGTGAAGGCCACACGGCAAACAATTGAGGACGCCAGCTGTCAACGTTTCATCCAACCTCGACGCCAACCTGTCCTCCCGCATCGTTTCATGACCATCATGTCAAGCTGGTTCGCTTAGACGAAGCACCTGCAGCACAAACCTAGGAGTGAGCGTCAGTCATGCTCCATCAAGCTGTTGTGCAACGCCGCCAGCAGCGCCAAGTCCCAAGTCGTGCGAAGCAAACCGGGCAGCAGGAGCACGGATGGTGCGTGGACTAGCGGTGCCCGTGCTGTTTTGATGTGGCCTGACTATCCCAAATGTGTACAAACAAGACGCGCAATGCTCAAGATTGTTGATGTCTGTTTTTTTCGAATTGAGATCGAGGGTTTCGATTAAAATGAATGCAGTAAAAAATAGTCAAGGCCGTCAGACGGGTCGGCACAGGCAGTCGATCAAAAGCAGGGTCAAGAAAAAACTCAAGAATGCTCTGGCTAACGCCAGAACACACGACAGAAAACATACAGCCCAGAGGCATGTCAATAGCCAAGAAGCCCAAGGCTTCTTTCTTTTATAATGAACAGGACTTTATGACATGGTTGCTCTCGGGGAACCGCGTCTTCTCCGTGTTCACGGAGAAGCGGGAAGCATATGCACATGGCAGAATTCGGCACAGCCGGCGTCGTGTCGTAGACACGGAAGAAAATCGGAAGACGGGAATATTGACAAAGAAGGTCCCACACCATCAGGGGCCAGCTTGGCTGGCGGCTGACACTTCACTGGGAAAAGCCCAAGAGGGTTTGGAAGTGACTTTGGCAGCGTTTACGCCGAGGCAGGAGAGGTGGGGCTGTGGGCGCCACAGATGGAGAAGGAGGTGGCGAGGCGCGACTCGAAGAGACGGTCGAGCTTGTCGTCAGTCCAATGCTCCTCGGTGAGATCCTCGTCGTTCTGGATGCGCTGAGCGCACTGGGTGTTGATGGAAAACTTTTTGCCACGACGACGCTCGGAAAGGTTCTGGCTGCCCTCGGAATGAACCGAGGGTGAAGCGGAGCCGGAGCGCTGAAGTGAGGCAAAGAAGAGGCGGTGGGCCTCATCGAGGGGCCCGCTGGTAAGGGCTTCCTCGGCTGCGGCGGCCGTGTGCTTCATGAGGTTGTGCTCGCTGAGGCGGCGACCCATGCGGCCACCCTGGGGCATGGTCTCGTCACTCATAGTGATGGAAGCGAAAGCAGCTGGCGTCAACATTTCTGTAGTCAGAGAACGGCGGCGGGAAGAGTCGTGCAAGGCTAACGACGATGCGCGACTGCTCGTCGTAATCGTGGTGGTGGCGTACAGCAATGGGATCCGCAACAAACTCGTGTTGCGCGGATGGCAGAGCGCGTAAAGAAAAGAAGAGAAGCAAGTCAATCCGGGCCAGTCAGTCGGTAGAATATGGCAGCGGATGTTCCGAGGGTCCGTGAACGAGCCGTCGGAAAAGAGAAAAATGCCACCTCCAGCCCGAGTCGCGCTGCTTGGCACCGGTTTAGGCACCAATTTGTCGCTTGTCACACCGCGCTTGCAAGAATCATGGTGCTTGTGAGTGTGTGTGTGTGGGTAGTGGGCAAGCGGCATTTGCTTTGGAGTTTCTTCTGCCGTTTGGATCCCGGCCGCTTGTTGTTGCGTGAGCGTGGGACATGGGTCCATGTCCGATGGACATGATCACAGCACAGCACCACGCAGAACCAACAACGGAGAACAACAGAGAGGGCAAGCCAGAGTCTTTTCTTCGTTCTGATGTGCGCACCAGCAACGCACGACACTACGCACCTCCGCACGAGCCGAAGGTCAGATCGGGGGTTACGCAGACGAGTTTTGCTTCTGTTGGACACCAGTAGAAATGGTTCACGGTCGAGCGACGTGTACCAGTGGAATCGCAACAGTATTAGGGGGTAGCTGTTGAGGTCGTACGAAGGGACGTCTTGCTTCTGCTTGTCACTGCACTTGGCGCCGTCAGACGGGCCAGATGAAGCATCCCGAGGTGCTGGACATTCAATCAGGAAGAATCGTGAATCGCAGAATTATAGGACAGATTGCCCCATATGCCATGAAATGTCATGAAATGCTGACAAGTATCAGCTTCGCGAATTCAAGAACGTACACTGTCGACGCAAAACGTCGACAACGCACCGTGTTCATGAACCAGATGCGGCCTCTTCTTCGTCGAGCTGGATTTTCCCCACCATCCCTCTGCGTTTACCCCACAAAGCGCCGTTCTTTCTTCTGCACAGCCCCAGTCTGACCAGTCTGACCATGGGAGCCTGGTGTGGCCTGCCGTTGTGTTCGTACCCTCAACCACAACGGACGTAAGTGTCCTACCCGCCACGCGCTCGTTGACCACACTCATCCGATTCAACTCAACCGTGGTTCCTGATGTCGGCCAGCCCTCCAGTTCAGGGCCACCCGCGCCCCCTGTTATGTCCCATCGCCCAAGCCTGTTTTGTGGTGTCAAACAGGTTGGTGGTGATGGGTCGTCCCTGTTGACCACCACCACCAGCCGCTCGGGACGTGTGCATCGCCATCACCATTGAGCGCTCGAGACCCACGTCCTCCCCCACTGTTTCTCTTGTTTGTTGTTTGTTCATGCCCACCGCACCTGAACTGTCTATCCTTTCAAGGTACTGATCCTCTCTCGCCAGTTCCGCCAGCTTCTTCGTCTACTTCTCCTTTCCGCTACCGCCGCCGCCGCCGCCGCCAGTAGTACCGCTCGGCACGCCGGTCTGCCTGAACGAGCTGCGTCCCGTCCTCTCAACCTGGCTCGAGCTGCCTCGATACCAACTCAACTTGCCCACGATCCGCCCAGTTCACGCGCCAGCTCCATGAAACAAGCGCTAGACCTGATCGACACTGATATCGAGTGGTCTGCCAGCCATGCATGTCCGCTTTGGTGCCCTCCGATATCGAACGTTGGACGTGAGCGCTAGCACTTCGTTCTTGACCCTGCTCTGTCGGGCTGGCCAAGACCATGATTCCGAGACCACGATTCTTCTTCCATGCCTCCAATGGTCTGGAGGGCTTGGCATGGGCAGGCCAATGTTCAAGTCGCCTTGACCCCTGGTCGTGCGCGAGCTGTTGCGCGCTTGCCCGTGACTGGTTCTGCAAGCATGCACGCATACGTCAAGGTCTCATGGACAAGCAAAATCAGGGGTGTCTAGGGGTTTCGCGTGGTTGCTTCTGTTCGTGTCCACTGACTGGTGGTGCGACGGCAGAAGAAAAGGGGTGCCTTGATGCGCTTGCTTTTGCGCAAAGCCAGCCGGCGCCACAATCCCACATCCAGAACAACTGTCCCATGTCCAACAGACCAAAGCAGACGACATCGGATCCATGTCCCTTGCTTCTTCGATCTCCCCACCCCACTGCCGGCCGACCTGTCCAGGTGTCAAGGCCACGCCTCCTCCACGACGATGTCGCGCTTGCCCATTCCTCACGCCTCGGAAGCAACAAGCAGCAGCGGTCGCCCAATTTTACCCCTCTTGCACACCTCCCGCCTTGGTGGAGCGGCCTCATCAAGCAGGCCGAGCCCTGCCACCCGTCAAAACATCATTGATGTGAATCAACACCTTGCGTGACCAAACCTCATGATGGTTGTTGTTGATGGACAGGCGGTTCATCAGGTCTCCCCACTTGATGGCACTGACCGATGGATGTGTGTGCCCCACAAGGAACGCACAGCGCTGACTGGCCCGACGGTGGTGGTCCTTGCCTCTACATTCATCCTGGCTTCCTGGCTTCATGTCGCCAAGCACGCGCGTGGCAACCTTGGCAACAAGTTGATTCTTTTTGGCGCGTCAAGTGTGGAGGTGCGCAGTCGTTTGGGATGAGCAAGCACCAGGTCGTTTGGCAAAATGCATTGGTACATGGCGAAATACGCAAAAAAAAAAGCAAGCAGGCATGCATGACAACTTGCATGTCATGCAATCAGGGTTCTACTGGCGTATAAGAGTCAAAGATCAGAAGGGGCAGCGAGCAACCGCGTTTCGCGGGACCAAGCCCGCCGAGAACGTAAGCGCAACGACGAGGGTCAATCCTCTACCGCTGACCAGGCCTACGTAACAGAAGCGACAAGGGGAAAGATCATTACTGCAATGAGCCCAGCCCCCAAACACGCACACCCTTACGATGGGGTGCCAACAGCCCCAAGTAGAAAAGACGCCACTCAATAAACACAGTGCTAGGCCCACGCTTGAAACAAGCCAAGCAATCAACCACCAACAAAGCATGCATAGGTACAGACGTGCACATCTTGGCGTTTACAACCAAAATAGCCACTAGATCTGTCAACAGCCCATCCAATCGGGTCACGCCGCGAGCCAAACTGTGACTCTTGAGCGAGCGAGCGATATTCATGGGAATTTGACCGCAACTCGCAAACTGCGAGTCCTAGCGCTCGAGGCGCGCGCGCACATAGACACACCAACACACTAACACACAAATACACTAACACACTAATACACAAATACACCAACACACCAACACACTCATACACTAATACACAAATACACCAACACACCAACACACCAACACACCAACACACACAAACACCAAAAGCAATGGACCATCGTGGAGAGCGCCCACAAGCCTCACTCACGTCTGCGTGCCCGAGAGCACAAAATGACTGGCACCCGTGGCTTCTTGCTTGCGACGCATCGACTCGATCAGCGCCGGATCATCCGTCGCCGACTGCAACATCTTCATATCCTCCTCTCGACGCCGGCGTCGCTTCTCCAGCTTGTTCTTGCCTGAACCGTGACCATGAAAGGCATGAGACATGATGCGGAACGCGTCCTTTAGATCCACCTGCCGACCCTCCTCGTCCTTGTACTCAATGTTAAAGCTGGGCTTGTACGAAGCCGCTTTGGCCGCAAACGGATCATGAGACGACGAGCCATATGAGCTGCCACGACGCCAGTCATCGCGCCCACCGCCACCTCGCTCGCGTTCACCCCGCGTATCAATCTGCGCATTGGTCGCGCGCAGCTTCGCCACCTTGCCCTCGCCTTCTGCCTCCTTGGCCTTTTTCGCCTTGGCACTCCCCTCCAAGTAGCCTGAGCGCTTGGCCACCTTGAGGGCGTCCGCCAGACTAAAGCCCACGTTGCCTTCATCGTCCAGCAGCTGCTCCTCTTCCTCCTCGGCCGCTGCCGGCGCAGCCGGCTCGCTCTTGATCGAGCGTGCTGCGGCCCCAGTGGTGCTCGAACCCGAAGGTGCACTGGTCCAACGTGAAGGTGCCGGCGCATCCGGGGCCTCGTCCATGGCCGAGCTAGCTGGTTCGGCCTTGATCGGCACCGCTGCCTCCGGCTCGGGCTTAGGCGCCGCAGCCCGTCGTGTGGAGGCCTCTGGCTTGTCACCCAAACCTTGCACAAACTCGGTCATGCTCGTCAGCGTGATCCCCTGCTGCTCCGTCTCGATCGGCTCTACGCAAGCACCCCCGCAAAAGCCCGGCAGAGACGCATCAAATCACGGCCAGCAAATAGAGTGGGGCAGCACGGATAGGGAGATGGACATGCGATGAATACGCGAAAAGTAGACCCAAAGGGGTGCCTTCATCGCGAACGACGCACCGTGCTTGGCGGATAGTTCGGCGTTGGAGCGCACCAGGTCAGCCACTAAGAGTGACATGGTTTTCCACCAATGAATAAACACGACATGCACGATAAGCACGCGCGTGAGACCAGAGTTGCGCGCTCAACAAAAACATGAAAGCGGGGGAAAAAGGTGCTGGGACCAGGCCATCGTGGTGATCACACAACACAAGAGAAGAGAAGGACAATGCCAAGTTTGGACAGATCCCTTCCCCGGCCTTGATAACTTTGTTCATCAAGCTGCTTACCATCGCGGGAAGCCTGGTGGCTCCGCTGCTTGGCCCGGCGGAGCTTATGCAAAGCCGCTTGTAGCTCCGACTCCATCTCATCTTCTTCATCTCCTACACACCATTCAAAAACACGTCCGTCAGACTCAAGCCAGCCGAGCAGGGAAAAAAGCAAGCTTTGCCTCAGAGAAACATGGTCAGCTAAAGCGCGCGGCACCCGCCGTTGCCTCTGCGAGGCTCATGCGCACCAGCAGCATCGAGAAGGGTGTCCTGGTCCACCACGGTGTGTTCGGGCGTGTCCTGATCCATGGCTGCCGCTGTCCCAGATGTCGCTGTTGCTGTAGACTCTTCCACGTCATCCTGTCCCATGCTCAGCAAGTCGTCTGCCGTCAGCGCCTACATCGAAAGCAAAGCATCAGTGAGGTGTGCCCGTTACGTCGACCACGTGAATTCGATGGCCGTTGTCTGCCGCTTGCCCGAGCCGGGTTGGCGCCTACACCAATCGTCAACCCACCTTCTTAGGCTTGGATTTTTTCTTGCGCTTGCGCTTCTTCATGCGGGCGGCCTCATCTGTTGTGTAGTAATCGGATTGGCCCTGTATTCACGACACCAAGCACGAACACAGGTACCAATGAGGAGCCGTTGGGCAAAAACAGTCGTGGCGACGACTTGCCGTGGCCTGATGCCGGGCAGGTTGGAGAAGAACATCAAACCAGAATCGGGTTACTTACGTAATTGACGGCAGATTCAAGCGAGACAGTGCCTTTAAGACGCTCACGCACGAGATCCTCCTCTGTCGGCTCAGCCGCCGAGACCTGAAGAAGCGGTCATGAGCATCGTCGCAGTCCGGCGTTCCCGCACGTTCGCCCTCGGACCGAAAAGACCAGGATGAGAACGCACCTGTTGACCAATCACATAGCTGCCCGCCTTTAGGCGGGAGCCCGAACGGTCACCTGTGACAGCGTCAATGTTGTCATACTTTTCCAGCACAGACTTGGTTTTCTGTGGTTTGTGGCCCACGTCCCACACAGGCCGATGCCAAGAGTCAAGCATATGAGAGTTAAACCCACGCCACGACATTTGTTGCCACATGTCTCGAGAATTTGAGGAAAAAAAAAAACCTCGGGGGGCTCTGGCTCACGTACCAAGCCCAGAGGGTCATCGATGGCATCCATGGCGTGCGTTCGGCCCATCTTCTTCACCTCTTCCTGGCGTTCCCGGGCCTGGAAATGGAATCCATGAAAAGAGGTGAGAAGATGGGTGCGCACCACAACTTTCACACGCGACGCACCGCACCTTCTCATCATCAACCAAGTTAACGTTTTCGAGAACATCGTTGTCGTCGTCATCATCCAGCACGCCTGTTTATGGAGAAAAATAAAATATAAAATAAAATAAAAAAATAAAATAAAAAAACACCAACCATGAGGATTGCGTGGCAAATAACAACGTCCAAACCCTTTTGAAGGATGGAAAAGGTCACACACGCACCGCGGTCCTGCAGAGTAAAGACCATCTGACTGCCGTCCTGGAGAGAGGTAGCCACATCGTGATCGACGCGCATGCCCTTGATGTCATTCACATCATACTTCTGTAATTGATATGATGATGGTGTAGGAAGAGGGAAGAATTGACGGCAAATTGAGTGTCTGTGTGGCCCACGCAGCGACCCACTGGGCAGACCAGAGAGGCGAAAGCGAGCAAGCGGAAAGGAGGGGGGGGGGGGCTAATGAGTGGCGAAAGTGCAAGCGTACGGGTGCGGCCTCGGCCTCCTTTTCCAAGGCCTCATCCATTTCGGCGAGTTTGCGCGCCTACACATGCCGAGACACCCGACGCGACAATGTTCGTCATTAGGTCATTAGCCAGGTAAGGGAGCCAGAAGCGGGGCAGCACAATTTTGCAGCACTCCAAAGGGGTCAATTTCTCGATTGGATTCTTTCAAATCAACCCAACCTGTTCCTCCGCCTCCTTGCGCCGCGCCAACTCGCGACTACGCTTGACCCATGCCATGGGATCATCATCCTCGTCATCGTCGGCCTCGCCCAAACCCTTGACAGCCGAGAGTTTCTGGGTCATTTGTCGGCGCTCACGCTGTGTCTGCAACTTTTGCCGCATCTACGACCAGATATTCACGTCAAGTTTTTGCCCATTAAAAAACGCGGCAAAGTCCATGGGATGGGAGTACATGGACACCGACATCAGAGAGATAAAGGCCCAGAGACCATCCTGGTCGGGGCTGGCAAAGAGGGTATGCCTACCTGCTCCGTGACCTGCTTCTCGTTGGGCAAGGAGGGGGCGATAAGAACGTCATTTTGCAATTTGGACGTGCCCGGGGCAGCCGCGTCGGATGGCTGGTCAACGTTGAGTGGTTTCAGACCGAGCTTGGCACGCAATGCATTGGTGTCCTCCACGGACATGGAAATCTCCTTATCTGTGACAGAGGAACCGTGCAAGTCAGCTGAACAAAGCAGACACGCGCGCACACACACTCCACCCGTGCTCCCCCGAACCAAAAAGAAAAAACCCCAATCCTGCCAATCGTCAACCAGCACAAGCTTCACCAGCCGCGCCCACTGCCAGCGCCAGCAGACGTACGTACCCGTCATGGCGACCGGTCGCCGAGGCGGCAGCCAGAATGCTCCTCAACCAGCAACAGACGACTTGCAACGCAGTTGTCGACAAAATGACTTGCTACCACCTGTCAGTTCACCAGCGCCGAGACTTTGTCTGACATCAAGACAAATCATCCAGAACGCGAACGCAGAGAACGTGTTGAATAAAACTGTCTGACATTCTAGTTCAGCGTCTGTTTTTTTTTCTTTTTTTTCTTATTTTTCTTGCAAAGCCCTGTGGCGCCGCTGAGCTGCTCTGTGTGTGTGTGTGTGTGTGTGTCTGTGTGTGCCGCGCTGACTTCTTTGCTGGGTTGAGCGTGCTTCTGCCTGCCTCTGTTGTCGGAGGAAATGGCGTCGTTGTCATCTTCCCTGGACCCGTCTGGTGAAGAGGCTGGTGGAGGCACTGCCAGCTCGGTGGCCTCAAATGAGCAGCCGCCGGCGCGATCGGCTGGGCATTGGGCCGGCAAGGCTGAAGCAACTGATGGCTCGACCGTTGAGGTTGAGCATGACATCTCCGACCCACAAACGTAGGTCCATCGCAGCCCCTCGGATCCTCACCCGCTATTTACTGTCCTGCGCTATGACGATTCGTGCACCCCATCGCCTCATTGCTCTCTGCCCTGGCCCGCTTTGCACGCATGCTGTGGCCTTTCAACTGCGACCCATCAGGCGGGAAAGGCTGAACAGCGCGCGCCCGACCGTCAATGTTACCGCACGCTGGCACGCTGCCAGTCGGCTTGCGCGCTCGGCATTTGGCAGCAGCGTGGTCGATCGGTGAGCCGTCGCAGATCGCCTGACTGTTGTTGTCAACCCCTTGACAGCCGGCCCAAGAGCTGCACATGCCTCATGAACCCATCGTTCTTCAGATCGCGCAAGCGCAAAGCCCTGGGTGACAATTTCTTTGATGTTTGGTCGTCCGTCAAGGCAGCCCGTCCTGTCGAACATCAAGCACACCATGTAGACAACGAACTGGTAAGAGTTGCCCTCTTGCCCCACGCCTCTGTCTGTTTTTGTCATCCAGCCCACCTTCGCCTTACCTCCCGACCTTGATGTGTACCAAGCTTAAAACGCGCTCGGCTGAAGCCGCCGTGGCGCATCGCATGATGCTGGTGCAAGAGCAAGATTATCGCCGCCACTTTGAAGCCGATGAGCTTGCACTCTCGCTGCTCCATACACTCCGCCTGGGTACCGCGCGCCAGCTCCCGCAATCCAAGGTCAGACATTGTTCAAGCACACGCTGACTGAGCACATGCATGCACCCCAGTGTTGGCCCTTGATCCAGCTCATGACGACCATGTCCTGTTGCCGGCTGTTGTAGCTCACTTACAAAGAGTGCATTAGCTCCACCTTTGAAATCCCCCTCTCCTCCATTGCCCACCTCTACGAACAAGTGCATGAGAGTCCTTCACCCACGCGGTTGAACCATCGCGTCGACATTCTGGCTTTGGATGTGAGCAACATCCCCCAAAGCCTGCAGGACGTGGGGGGCACCGTGCGCTGCGTCTTTGAAGTGGTCGCCCCGACCAAGACTGCCAAGCACAAGCGACAAGCCCGCTCCCTTGTTGTGAGTCATGCCCCAATCGCCTCTCGTCACACCCCAACCTGTGCTCTGTCGGCCAAAGTCAACTCGCAGCCGTCGCGTTGCTGGGCCATGACCCTGGAACCCTCCCGCATCGCCCAATAACCCTCGACTCTGCGTGCCAGCGTCGTGACTTTATGTATCAAACAGATGACCAAGCCATCAAACCCAAGCACCACTGGGATCTAGCCACAAAGGTCCAGACAATCGAGCCTGACAAGTGCTCACTCCAGATTGAGGTGGGTGCATTTCATGCCTGGCTGCATGCTGTGCCAAACAGCACGACGCCTTGTATGCATACTCATCTACATCACTTGTCACGCCACGGTGCAGGTCTGGCACGTCGATTCCACGCTGATTCACGAGGTGGAGGAAGAACTAGAGGAGGATGCGGATGAGGCCAACTCTGTCCTAGATGATAAGACCTTTGATTGCCTCGACAACAATTTCAAGGCCAAAAACAAAAAGCTCAATGCCTCTAAAGGTGCGACGGCAATGACTCATCGCTCGCTGAATCAAGTCTCACCCACGCGTTGCCCCTCTGATCCGGTTTGGTCTGATCCTTATTCATGCCATCTCTGCAGTGATCATGCGTCGCCTGCGCACTCTCAAAAAGCATACGAGCGCCTTGCTGAGTCGCAGCTCCCGGGGTCTGGACAGTTTGGCCTCGAGTGCTTCGGAAGCCTCGCTCTCCCTGAGCCGCGCGTCTCGCCTCGGCCATTCCGAGGAGCCAGGTTCGGACCCACCGTCGTATCTATCCTGACCCCCATGCTTGCTCGGCTGTGACCCCACTCGCCGTCTCCTGTTTGACCCTGTCCGTTTGATTGTGGCTGGGGCCTTAACTGCACGCGTACGCACCGGTGCTTTCGTGACGTCTAGAAATCGGCGGGCCCGGTCTCACGCTCATTGGCCGTGCTTTTCTTGAACTCGACACGCTTTCGGAGCAGCCTTCAGACCAGGTCCAGGCATCGCCTGTTGCCCCTTGCGTGGCCTGATCACTCCCCGGCGCTCAACACGCATTGTCTTGCTGGCTACTGCATCACTCAGGTTCTCCGCCTACACACCCTCAACAAAAAGCTGGACATGAAGGTATCCGTCATGGCCTGTCTCAAGCCTGTCGGTGAAACCGAGCTAACCACGTCCATCCGTCTCAAGCATCGTTGCATTACCCAACGCATCCTGGTCAAAGCTGGGGTGCAACACAAGGCCAAGGTACAACTGCACCCCGAATGTGCCTATCCATCAGCACTCTTGCTCTATGGCTGGCTGCTCATCTCCGCCTGTTTTTGTTTCGATGCATGCCCTTGCCAGCTTGATGAGGCTGTTGCCTGTGAAGACATGGTGAGTTTGAGAAGGCGCGAAGGACACTGTCTTTGATGCCTCTCCTCGATGTAGTCTAACGATTGCCATGGCACCGCATTCTGGTATTTCTACAGACAGCATCGGAAGCAAGCAACGTGCCGTGGGACGGACACTTGGACACGCCTTCGATTGAGTTGCTCAAGACGCATGCAGATAGCCTAGGCGTGCCAAAACATCTGGCGCTGCTGGACTATTTTTGCATTCTCATGGAGCTCCATGGCCAGCTTCCCGTTGAGATTGAGGCCATTTGCAAGGTCATTGAGGCAAGTCGGGGCATGGCCTTCACCCAGCCTCTAGCTCTTTCTGCGGTTTTTTTCGTGTGTGTTTTTGTTGTTTTGGGCTGATGAACCACGCCCCGCCCGAGTAGGCCTTTGTGCGCAAAGCTCCCGAAGATATTATTCTCGAGGAAAATGACTTGGACCGACTTGTTGGTGCAGCTCAAGCCTTGTACTGCTTTTCACGTGATGCAGTGGCCTGGCCTTTTGATCGGGATGAAGAACAATGTATGTCTAGGCCCAGACAAGCTCACGCAACACACAAACAGATGCGCTTGCCCACCGCCCAACCTGTGAAAGAAACCGTGCCTTCACTTGCCACCTACCCGGCTTGCATTGCCTTTTCGGCTTAGTTGATGCCTACTTGTACCACCTCCGCGCCCTGGTGGCCGTGTTTCAAGTGGAGCCATGGCATAGCACCATGGATGTTTCAACCCAAGCTATTGAAGCAAAGGTGCCGATTTTCACCAAACCGTTGTTCTTTCTTCTCTTCCCGTTCGCTCTCCTTCATTCCTCCTCTCAAACGAAAAAGAAAATAAGCATCCTGCTTTGCTGATGAGCGCTGATGAATGCCATTGGACTGGCTTACGTCAACATCGCTGCTCTGACTTAATTAGGTCAATGCCTCAGCCTCCACTGCCACCATTCTCCAATACGTCCGCGACTACGTTCGGTCTCGCCCAAACTTTACTTGTCAGTAAAAAGCATTTTGCCACCGTCTGCCCTTTTTTTTTTTTTTTTTTCATTATTTTTTTTTTTTTTTGTTTGGCGGGGGCTTGGCCACTCTGGGCTTGCCCCGCCTGGCTGCTCTGGCCTCAATTCCATGACTTGCACGCCCATTGGTGCTTAGACGTGGCAATTCGCAAGCGTGTGGCCGAACAATTTGGAGATGAAGCCATGGAGGAGGCCGCCGATGCCATTCAAGAATTGCTCAAAGAGTGTTTGCAGGCACCAGACTCGACAAGCCCAAGTACCGTCGATTCCCCTCTCTATACCCGGCTCATCGAGTTGCTGCAACAGTCATCGGCGCCGGAACTGATCTCCTCCCACATCCAAGGTCAGCGAATGTTGGCCCGTCCATCCGGCAGACCCAGACACCGCTCGCATGTTGGTCGAGGATGGTGACGCTCACTTGTCACGGGTTGGATCTTTGGTGGCAACTCTGTGATGTTGTCGTAGACAAGTTGATGAAGGAGTTTGATGTAGATGAAGTCAATCGCTCCCGCAAAACTATTGACACGGCAGTTTTGCATGAACTCAGTCGTCGTCGTGCAAATCATGGAGTCACGACGTCAGGCAAACTTGAGCTCAAACCTGAACTTCGCCACGCCATCACCGAAAGCGCCAAGAAGCGGCTCAGCATTTTGCGCGAACTCTCCACCCGCGAAGACGATGGCGATGTTAGCTTGCGCTTGTGTGCCCGAGATGTTTCGGCTCTCTCTCCTTTTCTCTCTTTCCCTTCTCTATGGCCTTTGTGCTTCGGGGGGTGGTGCCTCGAGCCTTCACTGCGGCTTTTGCTCAATACTGCGATGAACGTGCTATGATAGGATGCCAAATTGTTGGCCGTGATCCGTTTCATCAAGGCTGCCACCATAGACCTGCGTAATCTGAAGCAACGTGAAGCAGCCATTCAGGCGGTGAGATCTAGGGTTTTCTGCCTCTCCCGGTGATTTTTACGTCATATTCACACGTCAATCATGCATTGTCTGGCTGGTTGCAGATTATCCCATCCTTCAGTCCCTTTGAATGCGTGTTGCAAGTTTTTGATGGTCCAATCATGGAGCAGGTGTGCGCAGCTCTCAGGGCGCACCATGCCGAGGTCAGTTGAAAGCCGCCTGGAAATGCGAGTCAGTTGAAGAGCAATTTTGAAATGATCTTGCCTCGTCCTGATCCGACTTGGAGTTGCCGTTTACCTCATTGCGGCTCGCACCCGACGAACAACTGGAAATAGCGAGATTTGAAGGACCTGTCTACATTGGTTTTTACCCTGTATGACGCCCTACGTCAAGCGCGCGATCTCTGGTGCGACCTTCCCGAGGACTTGCTGCCGAAGCTCAAGCTGCCGCGCTATTACTCGTACGTTTCTTGCTCACCGTCAAAGAATCCATCACAGGCGCTTTCTCTCTCTTTTTTTTTCTCTCTTTCTCTCCCTCTTTCTTTCTCTTTCTTATGGCTTGCCGCCACTGTTTGCCTGGCAGAGAGTTTGCGGTTGTGGTTCAGCGCTGGTTGCGCTTGTCAAAGGACAAAGGCCAAACCTGGGTGGACAACAGTGTAGCTGCAGACAACTTTGAGGCCGATGCAGGCCAACAATTTTCGGCTTCGGCCATTGACGTATTTAGGGCCTTTCAGGAAATTGTGGAAATGTGGGACTGGATCGCATGGCCTGGTATGTCTCGACTGTCACTTTGAGCCTGCTCTTTCTCCTTCCACGACCAAGAAGCGACATCTGACCTGACTTCCTTTTTTGGCTTCACAGATGAGGAAAATGCCGAGGAAGTTCTCTTTGTTTCACTTGCCGACTCAGTCTTCCATTGCATCGGTTATTACTCTGATCGAGTCAGTCCGGCTTTCTGCGAGCGCTTGGCCTCTTCGCGACCATGGCTCATCAGACACTGGAGTGCCTCGTCCATAGCTGTGCCAACGAGTAACTGAAATGGAGCAACAGCGCCTCGCAGCCGAACCGAATCAACCTTACGTCTTTTCCCATGTCATTTGCATGGCCATGAACAACTTAATGCAAGCCAGTACGTGAGCCGTTGTCCCATTGACAGCAAAACTTGCCGCAAACCCCAACTTTGTCCTGTTTCTAATCGCTTCGGTCCCTTGTTGCGCTTGCGTTGTGCGACCGCGATGCCCACGCAGAAAAGTACTTTTCGGTGGTACATGCGACCTTGGCCCTCACGGACGTGGCTGAGCGACATCGACAACGTGCCCTGGAATACAACAAAAATCACAGTGGCCAGGTGGGTTGTCAGCTGCCTGTTTGGTGTGCCGTGTGTGCCACAGACATTAAAGTGAATCCGAAAGCTGGAGCCACCGACGTTTGTGCTCGTGTTTGTGGCCGGAGTCACAATCCTGTCCTTTTCTATTTTCTATTTTTCATTTGACTTGCCTTTCGACTACGTTCAAGCGCTTCTGCGTACTCATTGTCAGTGGTTGTTTAGATCAAACCGCATCGCGCCGTGGCCTTCCACGACGAAGCCAAAGCAAAGTTGACTTCGGGCATCGATCTTTTGGTTGATTGTACGTACTTGCGTTGGTTTTCCACACACACACACACACACACACACACACAACACTTTTTTTTTCCTTCTACCGTCGTTGTAACTTTCCCTCGGCCTGGATGGGACACAACTTGACCTACAACTTGCTTGAATGCGTGCTGCCTGTGTTTCAGTCGGATCCAAGCAAATTATCAGTGTCTTAAAGCCCGAGCTCTTTCGGATAGCGTTGGAATGCTATCAACAAGAAATCGCGAGCGATGATTTTGTGGAACAAAAGCTTTACTATTATTTATGCGAGCCAGATGATGCTGCAGGTGGGCTTCTTGTCTAGGACCTAGCATGCCACCTTTGTGCATTTTCCTCTTTGCTTGTGTCTCTCATGTGCGTACGCCACAGGCCGGGTCGAGCCGGACCGCGAGACCACCCCCGCTGTCTTTGATCGGACCATGTACGTCTTCCTATCGACCACTTCTGGCTTCAAAAGTGACCCTCGCGGCCATCATCACCTGGCAGCGCCTTGACGATTTCACAAGGATTGTGGGCATATCGCGCGACTGGCAGGGGGAGCACTCGCGTCAAGCAGATGTCAAACAAGCTGCGGAAGAAAGCCTGCTTCTTGCTGAATGACCTGATTAAGAAGACAGCCAAGGTTCACGGTATGTTGTGTGATACCGCGCTCGCCCCTTTGCTCTGCCTGGTTTACTGATCCGTATTTTGGACTCATAACGCCTCTGACATATTTACTGTAGTTCCCGCTGGCTACCTCTGCCGCAACCTCATGGTCATGATTGAGGAGCTGAACCAAGACGACCAAGTGACCGTCGACTCCATTCTCTCGCGCCTCTTCATCCAGGTGAGCTTGAGCTTTGGGCACGTGAATAATGATCCCTTTTGTTTTAGGTTGGCCACGGGTGTTGTTTTCTGGTGAATTAACGCGCCGTGGATTGGTCACGACAGATCATGACTTGCTTGCGCGAAATCATTTTGGATGAACAAAACATCCTTGACAAAACGGTGCGCCTTGGTCATGCGTGTTCCAAACGTTCTCACGTCCCAGCCGCCTAACTCACCTACACATCCTCTGCTTCCTTGGCAATGGTGTACGGCGCACGCGCTGGGGTGTTAGAGCACAAACTCCATGTCGCGCTTTGCCCTCGCCGCACGGCGCACGCTCGTCAATTTCTTTTATCAAGAGGGTGATGGCGTACAGCTAGATCTCCTGGAGGACGTAAGAACGGGGCTGCATGTTCTTTTTCATGCGCACAGCGTGCCATTACTCTCGCCTCCATTGCTTTTGACTTACTTTGATCTTGATTTTTGCATGATGGTGCCCGGTTTGCAGGTGTGTGCTGAACAGCTGGACCCTATCTTGACGTTTATACGATCTTCCTCCGACGAGCTTATCGACGAGTTTTATCGACAAGGAGCTGCTACACAGGTTTGCTGTTGCCACCACCACCACCACCACCAACCTCTACCCCAGCCATCTGTGCCCGTCTCAACCTGTATGCGTGCTTTGGACACCACTGCAGGCAACGTGTATTCGTGCCTCGTATCTCCACGACGCGCGCGTGGCCTTGCTTCAGAACCGCTCGGTCATTGGCAACTTGGCCATCGAGGTGATTGTCTTTCCCAACAATGACCTCCAAGTATCCATTGTCCAGTGCGTAGTGTTGCTAATTTGTATCAAGATGGGACGTCTGGGTAAGAGATCAGGTCTGCAGGGTAGCATCTGATTTTGAGGCTACGTTGTGTGTTTTGTCTGGCAGGGGTTTTGGCATTTCTCTGGCGCGCACCTACGTCGTATTGCGCCTGCTTCCAGGCCCATTTGATGGAAAAGAATTCAAGGCCAAGACGGGCGTCTGTCGCAGCACCCCGCCCATGTACAACACGGTTGGTTCCTGGCTCAACATGGGCCGGCCGGCCGCATGCAATGTCTGTGGTATTGGCCCCGCATGACTGGCTGTCCCACAAATCGTGCACGCAGGTGGTGGAGATTCCGGTACAGCAGTACCCACGAGGCCGAGTGCTGCAACTGCGTCTGCAAACTCCGAATCACATGCGAGATGACGACGTGAGTGGCCTGTGGAATGGGCTTTGACAAGTAATAACCAAGCTCTCACGCTGTGCTGCTCTCTGCGGTTCACGATGCAGGTACATGGCGAGGCGCTGCTATCGCTGGCCGAACTGCGCCGCGCTTGTCGAAACTTTGAAGTGGGAACGGCCATGAAGCTGGACGTTCCCCTGCGCTCCATTCAGTATGAGGGCGAGACAGGCTGGTTGCAAAAGGTCATTGAGGCACGACACCGCACGCTGCCGGATGAAAGCTCAGATTGGTTCATGCGCAAATACGTTCGTCGTTTTGTGGAGAGCCAATCGGAAGCCTAGGATGCCTGTGTGCAAGTGGTATTTTGTGACCTGACTTTTCCGATGAACTCGGCTGGGCATGCCATGACTCGGTCAAGCCTTTTGAACGACGTGACTTTATGATGCGATTTCTTGTAACCGAACTATTGCATACACCAAGCTTAAGAGCCGGCGATAATCAATAAACATGACGTTGTACATTTGGTGGTTGCCCGAGCGTTGACCTAGCCCCTTGCCCTGTCTTTGCCAATGATGGTGTTTTCTGATGCTGCCAATGTGTCATGCATTTGCGTGCATGAAGCTCCTTCTGAATCTCGTATGATGCTTGGGGCGATGTCGGCACCGAGGGCCAAAGCAAAGTGATAGATTTTGTCGAGCCATAAAGTCATTATAAATTTTGAGCTTTGTGCCTGCTTGGGTGATGTGGATGGCATGGCACGCGCATGACTCAACAAGCATTAGAAGCGCGCATGATGAAGCGTACAGAGACAAGGAATAAGGAACTTTTGACTGGTACAACAACCTCAACATCATACAAACGCAAGCGTTAGTTTCCTCGTGGACCATCGACGATGGATGGGAAAGCTGCATGACATTGAAGCTACGACAGAGACCTGCATAGGCAACACACGCAAGTCACACATAACACACATAAAGGCTAAGTATAAGGGGAACAGATGGTGGACACGGCCCCTGGAGGTTACGAAAAAGAAAATCAAAAAAGGAGAAGATGACAAACACGTGCATCTTAAAGTATGGTGGCCCGCTGCTTGCTCGCGGCGTTTGTGCAAATCAGAACCTCTCAGACACCACCACTCGAGAGGATGATGATGATGATAACAATGTTGAAAGGAGGAGATGAGATGTGG